ACAATTGTACCCAATGCCAAATTATTCCTCTCAGCGCCACACGGAGAAACTCGCGTGCCTCCCAACTGAATGTAACGACCATGATGATTATGCGGTGGTCACCAAGTCGCTTGCCTTACGCGCATTTCCAATCGCATTTTTTGTGCTCGAATGGCGAGCTTCTCTGCGTAACTGTGTCGCGAAGGAGGTTCGATAAAAGAAGATGAACACTCACTCCCTGAGGAAATGCAACGCACCTGTCTCGCTATCGTATCCATACCAATTGCATGACGTTCTTTCCCGCTGCGATCAGTATCGGATAGAGCTTTGCCGACTCGTCTGCTGATACCACTCGGAAATCTACATAGACCTGCGCGATAGCTTCTACTTACCTCCTCGCGCAGGACCGTCGGAGCTTGTGCAGATATATGCATCCCCTCTTTCTCCTATTCCGGTGCTGTCGCATGCATTTCCTTTGTTACGTAGTGCTCATCCCGCCAAGGTCCTCACAAATTGGCCCGTACCTTGCGGAGACCGTTCATTTCCTCTTCGGAGCTAATTAAGAGAGCTGAGACCTACGGACAATGGGCAACGAGAAGTACGCCACTGGGCGGGCTTAGTCGTGAATTGCGTAAATGTCTTGTCTGAACTTCATTTATTTTACCCGGAAATCTCTGAGAATCCACTCGTGGGCAAGGGAGGCAAACCAATCTAATCGCCATGCCAAGAGTGGTAGTCGAGGAACGAATTACGAGAGAGTCGCCGAGACGATCATACGACCCTATCTCCGACAATTGAATGAACATATTTTACGGAACTCGGAGAACGTTTGACCGGTCGCGACCTCGAACCCGCGTAAGACCATAAATCGAGGACGTTCGCGAGAGCTCGCGGATGGAAGGGTGCGTATCGAGCGCTGGCGACCTGCATCCCAGATCATGAGGCGAATTCTGCAAATTAATAAATACACATTAGATGGCGGGGAATCTCTCTTTTTCCCATATGTTTAGTCATCCGAGCAAGTGGATCGGGAAACCTCTTGCTTTCCAGTCTTCCACAGATGAGCAATAGATTTGTTCATGCTTAAAAAGTCTTCCCGATTATGAATGTCGCTCCCGAGCCTGGAACGGGAAATCTTCCTCTTCTATCGCTCTCCCCCGGAGTTGCCGCTCCGTTTACGGCGGTCTTCTCTGCGGCCATGAGTCTTTGTTCTCCATCGTCCCATGTACCCACATAGAACCGGACCTGAACCAAGAAAGTTCCGTATTTGACAATGTCGAAGTCCGGACTGCCAATTCATTCCCTGTTTGCCCGTGTTAATGGAGTGCAAGAAGAAGAAAGTGCCGCTCGCCGAAGGAGCGTTTCCGCGGGACGCAGCAGAGATTATCAAAAAGAAAGCGCAGTTTTCCGCGCTCCATAACCATTAAATTTTCGAAGCGAAGAACGCCGCTAGTCGGATAACGGGCCACGAGGGAGCCATTTTTTCTCATCCGGAAAGCGAGACATCTCTCTCCCACCCAGAATTCGATTCGACAATCGCCGCCATTATCACTTTGAAGTTCATCTTCCGAAATTCCTCGAATTCAAATTCCGGATTCCGAGGCTTCCTTACGTGGATGCAGTAGCGTCCAGTAGGGGGGGGGCCAGGGGGCCATGGCCCCCCCCCAAGATTTTCAGTCGACCTGTCGTCAGATGGACGCACTTTCAGCGTACTCAAATTGCTGAAAACAGATCTTCGGAGTACGATGAAAGGAGAGAGATTGAATGGCTTGACGGCGTCGAAAATTCATCGAGAAATGCCGCTTACTGTTGAAGAGATTGTGGACTACATGGCGGCTAATCCGAGAAAGCTTGAAATGGTTTTGTCAAGTAGTTTCGGGGAAGTAAATTAATACTCGAATAGTTCGATGGTTGTGCTTTTTGTGATGGATTAAAATCTGAAGTTCCTGCATTCCCCTCACTTATGGTCATGATTGTAAATACAGTAGAAGCTCGTTACTACGAACACGAAGGGACCGACGAAACTGGTTCTTTGTACCGAGTTTTCGCTGTAACGAATGCCGCTCAACACTATCCCTATGGCGAGCTGGCCAAAGGAGGAGAAATTCCTTGTTCGTTGCACCGAGAAATTCGTTGTAATGGGGGTCGTTAGAACGAGCTTTTACTGTACGGGGTTTCGTGCTTTATCCCGAGAATCACCATCTCCGGACAAAATCGAGAAATCGTCCTTTTTGATGCGACTCAAGAAATCGGCTGCCCCCCCCCCCAAAAAAAAACTCGTATGGACGCGCCTGCGTGGATGGTGAGCGAACAGACACGCAAACCCGTCGCGCGCAAGGGCATATGCTCCACGTTGGATTTCCGAGACCAGGTCGTTCCTCGATAAAATCGATTTTCTTTTTCCCTGCTCTTCTGTGCGTGTTCCAGTCCCGGGCGGCTCCACCGACTTTCCATGTTTTTTTTTCGGAGAATATCACATTTATTTACTTGCTAATGATTCTCGCTTGGTGATACGTGCCTGCTGAGGACGAAACGCCCGTGATGCAGTCGCACGGAAATAGATACGACGATTTTTACCCGATAGAATCGCCCGAACAGGAAAACCCATCGCATTTTCTCGCGAGTATTTGCAGAGCATTCGATGCGGACTGCTCAACGAGGGCGAATAATTAATTGTAATGCTTTGCGTAAGCGATTTTATGATCATTGTGCTATTTTCGTTCTAACGCAGGATGCTGCTGCTGCTGTCGACGACGCCCTTCGGGAACCTCGATACCCGCAGCACCCTGTCTCTCAAGATTAAGTTCACGTTGTCGGTCGTAATGACCTTCTGGCTGACAAAAACGCAAACGAAGTTTACTTGCTTGTCTCATACGCTATTATGCGTGCCGACGCTATTCGGGACAGAGTTGAGCAGACAAAGTTCAGATCTGTAAACGAACAAGGTGCTGAAGGTGGCTATGCCCGCGGCTACGTGAGACTCGCCAGTGCGTGAGCAGAGCATGTTCTCGAGGAAGTGTATTCCGTACGACCCCTCTCCGACGCTTTGTTGTGTTTCTCGGCCCTTGACGGCTTTATCGTACGTCACACATATAGTTGCATAACACATGCAGCTGTGTACTGATAACCCCTTTCGGCGTTCGTCGCAGAGTTTGTCGACCGTTTTCTCCCCTATGTGACAAGTGCGTCTCGAAACAAGCGCTGGCGCCGCGCTCATGGATAGCTCGGCGCATTAGCAGTTTGATTCGATGTTGTTCTGATTTGTACCGGAGTTGTGAGCGAGCTGAGTAACAAGCGAGGAATAGGCCTTATCGGCCAGCGAACACGCGGATGAAGGAAAACCGTGCCGGATGACGCAACGATGATCCTGATCAATGGATGTGGCTGTTTCGATCTAGTGAGTTTCCTCATCTGTCAGCTGAAAGAGCGCTTGCGGAACGAAGTCATCCTGAGAAGCTACAAGACCACCGATGAGGTAGTCCGGCGAGAAAATTTTGATGACTCGGAGGTACGTCGTGACATCACTGGGCTACCGTGCTCCTTAAGACTTGTTAATCTCTGAAAATGTTCGAGTCCTTCAATGGAATTCTCTTCGGCCTTCTCCGCTTCTAGTTTCGGCGAACATCTGTCGGATTTTCCGCTAGCTCGACATCTGGAGTCTCATCACGAGGTCTCTAGTTTTAAAGTTCTTCCACGAAGTCACAGCAATCACCGCAAGGTCCAACATGGGGAAATTATAACATTCATTGAGCAAGTCCGGGTGATTTATGCAGTCCCCATTCTCGAAGGCTCCCGTCGGAGCTCAACTTGCGTTCTGCGGAATTTATTCGCTCGGTAGTCTTAGATTAATGCTATCGAGCGTATCGACTCTTCTGGTCCCCCGTGGGAGGCTCATTGATCACCAGGTATTCCGGGAAAGCGAGATGCCCGAGGTGAGCCGGCTCATTTGTTTGACGAGAGAATCCCGTATCCATCAGTCCCGGCTATATGGATTAGATCAAATAGGAGATGGGTCTGACGGGCAATCGTGACCTCCTAATGGGTGGGCTGGTGGCTGCCTGCGCTTTGTTTGTGTGCTCCTCGAGGAACTTTACGGCAAGCGGTAAGGGTACACAAGAGAGAAAAGGTATTAGATGTGGAATGAAGCGAGTCAAATTTCGAGCGATGCACGAAGATTAGTCGACCTTATCAGCATCGGAAATCGGGTAAGAGTCCGCTCGAAAAGTCGGCGGATTCTCGACGCTCGTTGCTTCCAGCCGGTCAAGCTCTTGGATTCGAGCTCACACTCGAGAGGAGCACAGTTTGCGGAATCGGAACTGAAGCACAAGAAGGAGACGGAATCGAGTTCCCGCGCTCGACAAAGACAAACGCCGCAACAGAGTGTGTGTGTGGAGTTGAGCTGCGACTCGGATGTGAGGGATCAGGGATCTCTTGTGAAGTGTGTGTAGGTGGTTTGGACAGAGTTTGCGAATTGATTCAAGATGATCTTTCCGTCAACGAAGAAACTTTTAAGTTTCGTGAGAAGGAGCGATGTTCCAATTCTAGTCGGCGACAACGATCTCGACCACGTCGGAAACAACTGGTTCAAACCGGTACGCTCACGCAGCTCTTTTCAAAACCCTGCGGACGCTACGGAAATGATTTTTTATTTCGTTTTCGATTGGCCAGGAGCTCTCCGAGGAGACGATGCGCCGCTGCTCTTGTGAGATATGTTTGCGCGCTATGGAGACAGTGTCAGCGGAACGCAGGTGGGCAATGCCCCCTCGCAACAAAGATCAATGCAACGCCAATGTGTGCCACAGGGATTGCTCCGGGAATGGCTGGGTGTGTCGCCCAGAGACCGATTGAAAGGATGACAGAGGACATGGCCGAATATTCAGGAGGTTCCGACCCTCCGATCCTTGATGCAATCTGCAAACGACAACGGTGTTCATGCGTTCAACGTTGCGCTCCTCCATTCCACCATCCATACTGGGTCGAGGTGTTCTTTTCGATTCATGGGTTAATTTTCTCGTTTTCAGGAGCCCCATGGGGATCAGGACAACAATGGAGAGAATCTGCTCGAGATCGAAGTCAACAACGTCACAAAGGAAGGCCACCCAAAACCAGATCCTCAACAATTCAAACTGCTCAAGGTCCTTGGGCAGGGATCGTTTGGGAAAGTTTTCCTGGTCAAGAAGACCGTGGGACCCGACTCTGGCACTCTGTATGCGATGAAAGTTCTCAAGAAAGCCACGCTTAAAGGTAAGTTTCCCCGGACGGAAGCAGCGGAGATAGTTGGTACGGTTATTTGTTTATCCGTGGTGACAGCCCGTCCCATCGGCCCACTCGTCCGGTTGGCAAGAGTCAATCCGCTAATTAGGTGGCCGGATAGCCGCATCGCGGAAGGATCTAGTAGAGCACAGAACTTCTGCTCCTATATCACTGTAGCGTTGAGGAGAGGCGTAACCCGAGAGCCCTTCGTCATCGGGAAAAGAGCGCTTTAGGACGGGTGAAGGAGTCTCGAAGCGTTTCTCGGGAAAAAGAAGGAAGTCCATAAGTGACGTCGACGAGCGCTCAAATTACTGTGTTGACGAGACCGGCCTGGTGGAGCGAGCCCAGCCAGCGAGCGCATAATTTTCCGAGGTGCGACTCTAGCGCTCGCAACGAGGTCACGATGAAGCCTACGGCGGATCATCAATCGATCCGGGCGGAAGTTCCCTCCTAAGCTCTTCTTCCTCGCCTTCCGTGCTCATCCGTTCATGATAAATCGTCCGCCGGCAGAATCATTATATCCCATCGTATACCGAGCGGTAGTAAAACGTCGATGGACGTCTCGTCGAATTCGCTGCGTAAACTTCCGCTGTGTCGGATATGCGATCCTCAACTACGAATCAGACAGTGAATGCGAGAATCCTCCATCGTGGAAGATTGGCACGTCGCGTCGATGGAAAAACAGACGGGAGATAAGAGGTTTAACCACAGCCAAAAAGTCAATGAGATCGCTGTGAATGGAGGCGTTCGCTCGCGCTCGTCCATGCGCGGATCCTCCGGACGTAGTACTCTACACGGCGGCGGCCGACTAATCCTTTCAATCGTCGGCGATACGATTCTGAATGAAAATTGTCAAGCCTAATCCACTGTCCGGAATCTCCGGCTCTCCGCGCGAATATCCTCTATCAGTCTCGGGCTCGAGCAACGACGCGACAGATGTCGAGACGCGCTCAGCGACGCCATAAATTTAGGCATTGCGAAAAGGCTCGAGAACTGACTCACTTGAAAGCGAGCAGGCAGGCGCCCTTGCGAGCCTAGCATGTAGAACCGAGAAGTGCTTCCCGATTCATTATTACTCGGCCGCGGCACCCTTCGATACGAGAGCTGGCTCCAATGAAACAATTCCGTCGATGCGTAGATATTGGAGGTCCCGAACAGCTTTTCCCGTTTAATGCGATACGAGTTGGAGCATCGCCGGCCCTCGTTCCCGAGATCCGAGTACGGTCGGAGTGGAGCGAGCACCACACCCTGGGAATCGACGATGTGCCGCACGGGATCCCAGACAGGAGCGGTTCGCAGACTCGGGTACATAACGACACTCGCGAAATGCGAGTTTTACGTCGGGACTGTGACTAGACTTTAGAATATGCTAGTAAAGCCGGTTCAGGGTTACGAGAATCGAATGTAGACTGCAATTTCGCCCAAATTGTGTAATGCCACTTAGGTTCAAGGTTAACGATGCGATATTGATCAGCGCGGAGAATTTTTATGACTCCGAAAATGTTTGATTCGGCAACTCGTGGCCATTATGCAAAATCCTGTCATCAACACGCTGAGAGAAGCCCGAGCTTCCGTTTCCCTGCGGTGCACCCCGAAAGCGCTGGCGGACAACACCCGTATACGGAAGAGTTCTCGAGAGCCATCAGTTCCGATGCGCGACAATCTCCTGTAGATACTGATACGGCTCGTGGGGTATTCGTGACGAGCGGAATCTCCCGTACTCGACCCGAAATTTCCGTCTGAATTCACGCTGGTTCCGAGCGAGATATTGAATCGACCAGATCAACTCAGTACCATAAAGGAAGAACGTCGACACAAACCTCGCGGCTTTGTACCCCGAGGATGTACCCTGTTCTCGCCGGGCTGATGCATGGGCACACTCCTCTGGCCAAAGCCGAGTCACCGGCTCGTGTACCCGACCTCCGTGCCGCGGATCCTTGAAGCCTACCGCGGTGGGGTCGAAGAAAGCCGAACGACTTCGAGAAGTCTCCTCGTCGCGGAGCACGGAAAGCGAGACGAGTGCATTAATACCTTCGCTCATCGCAACGAATCAGCTTTGTGAAAGATTCCCGCATGCGAGAAGGAATCGGTAGCAGGACACGGCAAACGGGAGCATAGTCGAACGAAACATTCATCCTCTAAGGGGCTTCCGTGTTCAGCATCGCAAACTTTGCGGAAACTCGCATGAGAGGTGCTGTTGCACGCCATCAGCTGAACACTCTCGCTCACGTGAAACAAGCCTATGCCGTTACCGTTATTTACCTTCATCCTCGCCGGGCTTTCTTGAATTCCATATGCGCCGCCGGCTGACAGCATCTCGTGCCCGTTCCTCTCCGCCATCCCCGTCGCATAAAAAAGAATGAATAACCTTGGAGCGGCTTCTCTCGGGAAGTTTTGAATCCCCACCGGATCTCTACGGATCCACGGCTACCCGGTGGCCCTCTCACCGCCTTTTGACGTGCAGATGGCACAGTCGCGCTTACTACAGGTGTCGGATCATTAGACGGGGATAAATTCCAATGTTTTTCCTCTTTCCAGTTCGCGATCGAGTTCGCACGAAAATGGAGAGAGATATCCTAGCGGAAGTACGACATCCGTTCGTCGTGCGATTGCATTACGCTTTCCAGACGGAAGGAAAACTCTATCTCATCCTAGATTTCTTAAAAGGTAAGCCGTGCTCCTGGGTCTCGTGGTGGCGATAGCGATCTTCCCGTGGTCCAAATATGCAAGAGTCGCTGGACAGCGATCGCCGCCGCGCTGAAGATGAAAATCGATGGCTCAGAAATGCCATGGAAAAGTGCTATTGATTCCGGCGAACAATGGCTTCTGCGGAAGAGGAATAACCCAATATGACGGTGTCGGTCGCTACCATCGCTCGCGAGGCTGGTCCCTCCCGTGTCCCTCGCGGGACTTCTTTTATCGGAAACCGAAAGGAATTCCTAACGATCCTACGCATTTGCAGGTGGGGACCTCTTTACTCGTCTAAGCAAAGAGGTCATGTTCACCGAACAAGACGTGAAATTCTACCTCGCCGAACTGGCACTTGCCCTGCACCATTTGCATTCACTCGGAATCATATACAGAGATCTCAAACCCGAAAAGTGAGTCTATTATTATCTGTCCTCGTGATTATTCGTGGTCGCCTTTCGTGTCAGTGTAAACACACTTCAGACCTCTGTCCAAGCGGATTACGCTAGCTCTCGTGTCGTTGCAAGGCGGTGTGCAACACCTCGAATTTGATTCTCTGATGAGGCTCAAGTACTCGGCTTTCCCTTCTCCTTGTCTTCCGTCATCCAGCGGGAATCCATCGGGGACCTCAAGTCATTTTCTCGCTTCCTTGAAACATTCTCCCGAACGGAACTCTCAGAATTTTCTGGAGCGGAGTCGGATTTCGCTGTCTGCAGCTACTTGTTAGGACGGAGACGTTCCCTCGAGAACGAAAGAATTCCGAGATGGAGTAAGCTTCCGAGTCTCGCGTCAAGTGAGCCTGTCATTCTGAGCGTCGTAGATTGATAAGGGAGTGGCTAATGGCCAATAGTGGAGGTTGGCAACTGCCGACCGAAGCGCTAGACCTTCCCCACCCCCTTTTCCCCTCCCCGGCGATCTGCAGTTATAATCCTGACAGGGCTCGAGGTCGCGGAACTTCGCAGGTGAATTCACGTCCCTCGACCTTAATAGCTCGCACTGTAGGGTTGGTCTCGGGAGTGAAGGGAGAAAGACCTAGGTTCTTCTTCCGTCGGCGGCAATGGCAGGGCATAAATATTCAGCAGCAGAGCGATGCTCCTGCGCACCCGTCGCTGTCTGTCGTGCCTCCTCGACTGATACAACACGTTCTGGGCGAAAAAATAGTTTCCCGACAAGAGCCCGGCGCCGCATTCGAGTTAGCATTACCGCGTCGAGTCGTAGAGCGCCGCCATCGCGATCGATACATACATAAGCCCACGCGTTGCATGAATCCGCACGAGAATTCTTCAACTAGATTCAAGACTCCCCGCTTCGGAGCCCCTTCACCGCCGGATCTCAATCATGTCGCATGAGCTCCGCCGTATACAGAGCTTTATTGAAACGTCGGGCTATATCCGGAAGACTTTCGCAGCCTCCGAAGCCACCATCGACAGCAAGCAGAGCTTTCAACCCTCTGTGCTGCTTCAACGACTGGTATTGAAACTCTCAGACTCAGGAAAGCTTCGCAAACGTCTTGGAGCTGTCCTCGGGTGCACTCATCCAAACACCGACCTCCTCCCGAGCTCAAGATTGTACGGTTGGCTTCGCGCTTTGTCTTCGAATGAGCAGATAATTCACCGCTGAATCTGGATCTTACTCCACATTGAGGCCGAAACGTGAAAAATACCGACTTGGAAACGGGACAAGCAGTCCAGGATGAGCTCCGGCCTCTCTATTCGGAGCCCTCACGGATCGTGCTGCGATTGTAGAGCCGCGATTGTTTCTGCCATGAGATGAGGTCGGAGAATTTCTCCTCTTGCCGCAACGGAACGCATCGATTCAGGGGAAATGGCTGGGAGTAGCTGTAGATTCCATATCAGGCCCGAGGGCGTGTTCGCTGATCCTGATTTCCGATGAAGGTCCAGAGAGGTGCTCCCGTAGCGTCTGTCGAGAGTGACTGACGGGCTTGAATTGTTCCGACTCGCTCCTATTCGAATCCGCTCCTAGAATAAATATAGCGGACACATGTCATGCATTTTTAGTAGTGCGCTTCGTCAGCTCGCTGCCGAAGTGTCTGATCCTCCGGAGCCGAGATCCCAAATATTAGATTCCCGCGACCTAAAGCGATCGGTTCAGGTTACTGGGGGTTGGAGCGTTCCAATAATTTTTTTCTTCTCGTTTCTTCAGCATTCTTCTCGATGCCGACGGTCACATCAGCCTCACAGACTTTGGTCTGTCCAAAGAAGCACTGCAAGATGAGAAGGCCTACTCATTTTGTGGAACCGTGGAGTATATGGCCCCAGAGGTCATAAACCGGAAGGGTCACACCACCGCGGCAGACTGGTGGTCATACGGAGTTCTGATGTACGAAATGCTCACCGGTGAGTGTAACTTGTCGAGTCCGAGGGAAGAAAAGCAAAATGTCTGCCTCCATACGGGATTCTCCCTGAAACCATCCAGCACAAGGGTCCGTACGGATATTCTCTGCCCCACTGCTCATTAGATCCCCGAAAGGGAGGAGATCATGGGTAATCAGGGGTAATAAGAATAAGCATAATTGTCTCTTTCGTCCTAATCGCCTCCCTCTCCTTGCAGGAAGTCTGCCGTTCCAAGCCCAGACGCGCAAGGAGACTATGTATCAAATTCTGAAGGCTAAGCTCAGCATGCCGCAGTTCATATCACAAGAGGCTCAACTTTTGCTGCGAGCGCTCTTCAAGCGGAACCCCGATAACAGATTGGGTAAGTTCCTCTACGAACTTGGAGCTCGGCTAAACCCGGCTTTATCGCCCTATCTGGGAATTCTCAATATAATGTGAGATTCTATAAGTGCATGTGGCGAGTTGACCGTGAGCTGCGAGAGGCTGTCCGTCCGACACGGGGAGCCAGGGCTCGGGACAGATCTTCTGTTAGCTGTAGCGTGTATGGAATGTCGCTCATCGCAGATTCTTCCCCCTCCAGGCTCGGGTCCCAATGGTATCGTAGACATAAAATCCCATCCATTCTTCCATTCGATCGACTGGGAAGCCTTATACAATCGGCAGGTTACCCCACCGTTCATACCCGCTGTCAACCGATCGGACAACACTGTCTACTTCGACAAAGTAAGTCCGATCGAACCTAACGAGCTGTCAGTCTGATACGAACGTATCATTCCACGATACCTGTCGTATCTACCCTCCGGCACGGATTCTTCCACGGAAATCCGGCACGTAAATGCCTCATTGTTACGATTGTTCGCAGGAGTTCACTTCAAAAACACCCGAGGATTCGCCTGGCGTACCGCCATCTGCGAATGCACACGAATTGTTCAAGGGGTTTAGCTTCGTTGCGCAACTCGACCAGGAAGACGTGAAGCCAAATGGCGATCCTTCGAAATGGTGAGCAGGAAAACGAGTTCCGTACACGCGCACTCTCGAGCCGAGACGATGATCAGACGCATCTGTTTTCGAGTGTGCGGAGGCTGCTCTCAATGAGAGATTCTCTCACCAACTCCGAAATTGTATCGTATGCGGCACATGTGCGCAGATACGCATTGGCGTCCAGAATTCGAATCTGAGCCACAAAATGTAAATCGGTCGGCTATTCTGTGCATCTCGGTGTTCGATTCGCCTCGAATCCCCATGACGGTTGTGAAGGCTATTGAAGGATCATTCTTTCTGTCTGAAAAAATCGTTCCATTGTAACCCCGACACACGTCGAGATTATCGATTCCCCGGGAAAGTTGCGTGTTTGCGTTAGCACGCGCGTAACAATTGTAAACGTGTTGGCTAAGATTTATGGACTGAATGATCGCTGACGGTCCCTTTCAGGTATAACCTAAACTATAAGGACTCCATACACAAGGATTACGAAATCAAAGAAGAAATAGGCCGTGGAGCTTTCTCGGTCTGCCGGAGGTGTGTTCATCGATCGTCCGGGAAGGAGTATGCCGTAAAGGTAAGCGCGACCGTTCTCTCCGACGTCCGAACGTGTGGACGAGCCCAACTAATCCATGGATTTCCAACTCATCGCCACTTTGTTCATGTCTCGACAGATTGTGGATAAGTATAAGAAGGACTGCCAAGAAGAGATTGAGATCCTCCTGCGGTACGGTCAGCACCCGAATATCTTGACCGTGTACGACGTCTATCACGACAGCGCTTCTGTGTACATCGTCATGGAATTGCTCAAAGGCGGAGAACTGCTCGACCGGATTCTCTACGAGAAGCATTTCAGTGAGCGCGAGGCATGCGCAGTGATCGAGGTCGTTGCGAAATCGGTGAAGTTTCTGCATGACAACGGCGTAGTTCACCGAGACCTCAAGCCCTCGAACATCATCTATTCTGATTCGTCCGGAGCCCCTGACAGCCTCCGTATCTGTGATTTCGGTTTCGCGAAACAGATGAGAGCAGAAAACGGCCTTCTCATGACGCCGTGCTACACGGCGAACTTCGTAGCGCCCGAGGTCCTAAAGAAACAGGTGCGTACCTAGGAGAAGGAAATAAATCACGTATAGAGTCTCGTCTGGGAGCTACCCCGTTGCCTCGGATCGATGGAAACGACGCTTTCCATCATACCTTGATTAAATCATTCTGCGTCTCGTCAGTGAATAACTTAAAAAGACGGTCGTCTCTCCAATCAGGGCTACGACGAAGCGTGCGACATCTGGTCGATGGGCGTGCTATTATACACAATGCTGGCAGGTCATACTCCGTTCGCTTCCTCGAACGATTCGCCAGACGACATCCTGGCCCGTATCGGGGAGGGTAAATTCGATCTCGAAAAAGGCAACTGGGCCAACATTAGTCCTCCGGCTAAAAACCTTGTGGAACGAATGCTTCACGTTGATCCTAAGCAACGATACAAGGCTGCTGACATCCTGCAACACCCCTGGATCTTATCGAAGAGCTCTTTGCCCACCAGGCAATTGACACATAGTCAGGTATGTATTTCGTTTCATGCTCGCGAATGCTGACGAATAAGAGGAAATGATTACAAACCCAAAAAAATCGGAGAAAAATTGCGGCAGACGAAAGAGCTCAATAATATACCATCATAGACTTGACTCTGATCGATCCGACTCCTGAAAATTCCCTCGCCTTTTCAGGATGCGCGACAGATCAAAGCAGCGGTTGATGCGACCTTTAAGGCAATAAATTCTACACAAAAAAGTCCTGTCTTGGAACCTGTGGACGCGTCGAGCCTCGCCCGGCGGAGGAGGAACAACGTGCCCTCACCTCTGAGCATCAAAAAAGCTTGAGCTCCCGCAAACGTCTAAGCCCTCTCTCTCCCAACTCGTCCCTCCGGCATGGGTACCGAGGGAAAACTCCTCCTCCTCCTTTTTTCTCTACAAGCCAAACACTGAGGTTTCGCGAGCCTCTGAGTTTCTGGCATCTGCAGCCATATCCGCGACCGGCCATCCACGATCTGCCACGACCTCCGCGTGCAGAGGTCGCCTGTGGAAGGAGGTCTTCCCTTGCTGTGATTGCCACACTATTTATTAGTATTTAAACTCGGATACCTCGAGTGTCGAGCATCTTACAGCCTGGACCTAGTGTTCTCGACCGTTTACAACAATTTTGTAGAATTTTCGCCATCGGGACCCGCTTCCTTTGTACATTCATTTAGCACGTAATGAATTATGCATGTTTGAGTCATCAGGAAGTCGAGACGGCAACGAAATCGTGCTCCGTTCGACGAGCCGATGATTGTTAGAAAGCTTTTGCCTCCCAATACCGACGCGGTCAAACACATTCGCTGTATATAAACCTCAGTTGTAGAAAGCTGACTGAAGAGGAACGAGCATTGAATACCAAACTCGGGATGAACACCGGCCTGTACATACAAACATTCATCGTAGGGTCAGACCAGTGTACCTGAAAACCTGATCTGTAATTTGTGAACGGAAGCCGAACGGCCAATTGTCTTCATCGGGCTACGACTGAATATACTGTCCTCACGACGATCCCACTGGTTAAATCCAACACGGGCAGTAATCGCGAACCATTTTCATATGAATGCCCATCCCCTTTTCAATCGGAATCCGTGGCTGAACCGAAGCAGCTCAACCCCTCTCGACTCAAAGCGATTCTCTCCCATTCGTCTATCGGTGAACCGCTCTGTCGAACACGAGATATCTAATTCGCATCGATGAACTTCCCTAATTGTGAGAGTCGAAAATATTGCAGTAACCATTGTTCTGACACTCACTCACTGACTCATTCATTCAAATTTCGACTTCTTAACTTATTCAGATGTCTTTCGAATACTTCGACGCTGATCTTCCATGGGATATCCGCGGCTGTCGATTTGCCACTTGATGATGATAACAATAATGATGATGATCACCGTTTTACTCTTAGCCTCTGAATGATTGTGAAATTAAATTCTTCCAATGTATCCAAATGCGATGATGAACGAGACGAAGCTCGGAGGCAAGGAGCCGCTGTGCACGCAATCAAGCCACAGCGTAGGCGAAGTGCCAGCGGCGGATCCTCAGACGGAAATTAACTTGTTGATACCGCTCGAACAGTGCTAAGATTGTTGTTGGGTTTTGTAGAAATTCCGGATGGTGTACATTCTCGAATGATCTTTCCGACCGATTAACTAGCGGCTACGCCGCTCGATATTCAGGTCTTGATTCTCAACCAGTGACGAAACTAGCGTGGTGACGTCGAGATCGGTTTCTTAGAGACGAAGCGAGGCTCTCTCAGTTCGAAGATTCGCGTCAAAGCGAGGAGGGACGGGAAAGCGCGATTGTCATGTAAAGGTTTAAATACATCATTGGTATACATGTGTTTCGCGTTGATAGGAAAACTACAGTGTACTTATTGTCAATTTCTTCTAGAATGAATAAAGTGAATTCTTCTCAAAATCGGAACCCAGCGCATTCTCGTTTCGATGATTATAGTTATCTGATGAAATTTATTGTTGCATGGAATTATGGCTCAATTATCATCACCCTAGGGAGCCTTGCGGAGAAAAGACAACGGTTCGGTCCACTTCGAATCCACAGGTTACGTTTATATTTTAATCTTTATATACACTGACGATCCCCTTCCTATCAACTGTGCCGAGCAACCAAATACATTATCCTTCCTATGATGAATTGTACACGTTCGATTCCCGCGCTACATCACGGAGCTCACATACCGAGTACCTACGTTGTTAGAGCTTTTCTTCTAGAATTTGATGATACATGTTCACTGTTTCTTCGAACAATGCTCCTCTCTGATCCGGTACAGACTCCTTCACCTATGGAAGAGAAATGAGAACTCAGTCGATCCGTGAACGCTTGAGGGAACCCCGGAACTCTTGCGGAACGCTGTCAAGACGGCAACGGTGCGAAGCGCGGTGCAGCCTCTTGGAGGCTCGAGCTTTTGCTTAGGACTTACAACACATCGCTTACTGATGCGTATTCTCTGTTCTGACCACCCTGACTCCTGAGGTGCAATCTTCTTGCACTTTTGGGATAGATTGGAGAGTTAATCATGGATCCCCTCCGCGAGACTCATTCGGGCTGATGTCTCAACGAATGTATCAAACTCAATTGGTCTTTGGCATAGATGCCGCCTTCTCGTGAACCCAATCGTATAATTTCATCGCTTCCTCCTCCCATCGCTCTAGGCGATCAATATCGAAGAACATTCTCATCTGTGGAACTTTCCGAACTTTTATATTCGTGTTGTATATTATACTCACAGCTGCCAGTTTGTTTCGCAGTTGGCGATCCCTGTGTGAGTTCAGAGCCCCCGCGTACGAGCCGCCGCACTGATCAAATATCGAACGAAGTTCCGCGGCTTCTCGAGACAGAGCCACATGCAGTCCTGCCACTGTGCTCTGCAGCTTCTCGGGGATCCTTTGCTCGACCTCCTCGGCAAGAATTCTCCCACACAAATCGTAAGATACCCCGATTCGTATGAGAACATTGCATGGATCCCAATCGTCCGCGGCAGCTGTTGAGAAACGATCCGGTGAGTTTCTTGACGTACATCGAGGTCGTCAAATCGTCGATTCGGGTCGAATATTCTTCTCATATTGCAGCCTCGCGATAACTATCTCAACTCACGCGCTTGAGCTTCACCAGTTAAGTTATTTTGACTATCTTCCATATTGAGCTCGGTTACCGACGAGTTTTTCACCAGAGATTCCCAATCTATTTCCAGCGCATTGTAGATTGGAGCGGGCTGGAACCTCCTGCGATGGTCCAGAGATGGGTCTTCCGAATTGTCTGAGGATGAAAAAAATGGGGTTTCCAATAAGTTTTTTCTCCGAAAATAATGTCCATCTGGCGCAAGAATCGAGACTCCCCGGTAAATTCTCCGCGGAAATGTTTTCCCTTGAGGTCACTCACTCGGCTCATTGTCTTCCTCGATGAGAGCCTCAAGATCGTCATCCGAGATGGCTTCAGCCTCCTCGAGAATGTTGCTGTGTGTGTGATCCTCGTGAATTACCCCATTGGCTTCCAGGGCTCCGTCCGCGGCCGCAACCACGGCCTCATCTTTGTCTGACTTCTTTTCTAAGCTCTCGGCGTTAAGCGGACTCTCTTCTCCGGGTTGTCTCGTGGGTTTTCGATCCTCTTCCTTCGCGAGGAGATCGTCCTCCTCAGAACTCCAATCCGAGAACTGTTTCTCGTCGTCGTCACCGCTCGCTAAATCACCATCCTGTGATTGAGTGCAGGGCGACGACGATTCCTTCAAGTCTAGTTCATCGCGATTCTCGTCGTCGGGATTCGCTTTCGGCGTCAGGGTCAAGGAGTTATCGCTGACTTTCTTGACGCCGTTCTCCTCGGCTGTCGTCGAGTGCTGGTCTTCCTGTTCATCCTCACCCATGTGGGCTTCTTCAACGAGAACACTAGATATGCTTTCGTCGTTCGACGACTCGTCTTCAGCCCCATCAACGGCACCCTTCATCTTGGCCTCGTCATTCTCGCTTCCGCTGAGGGACTTTGTCGGCAATCGGGCGGCTCGTTTGACCCTGGTTTTCCGTTTTTTCGGCATATCAGGGGATACGGGCCTCAGATGCAAAGAAGCCGAGGCGTGATTTTGAGCCCGTCGTCCGAAATGTCCTCCGGGTGGACCCGTGTTGTGCCTACCCGAGTGACCTCGTGGGGACGGTGAACTGCAAAAGGAAATAATGCAATTTTCAGAAATTATCTTTTCCGTAAACGACCCGTACGTCGTTGTACAGCGGATCGAAACGCCTGAGGACTCACCGGTAAGCTAGCGTGGTAGAGTTGTATTTTTCTGGTTGTCGACCTTTTGCAGCTCGGAATTCATCCGGATGATGACTCCGGGCCGTTCTGTATACACCCCCGGACGTATAATTGAGCGGGGGAGAAGCAGAATGACCCGTCCGAGTGCCCCCGGGTGATGTCTGGAAGTTCAACAGAGAGCCGGTCTGAGATCACTGTCGCGAGACGCTTCACGTTCGCTGATTTCATTTTCACCCGAAGGAAAACGACACGCGACGATGGTGGTTCAAGGTACTCACTGCTTTTCTGTGTTGTCTGTGATTCTCTTTGGCACCTTGGTCTACGGCTTCGGGAGAACTGATTGCTGGTGAAGCCTTCCGTTTCCTCCATTTTGACTTCTCTCTCGAATCGGTTTCGTTCTCCCTGTCGTCACTGTCACTATGAGGAGAATTGCTAACACTCGATGATGACGAATTCCCATCGGTGGTTGATGACGATGAGGATGACACTTTCTTCTTATCTGACGGAACACTCTGCAGCAGCTCGAGCTCTTTCTGCAGCTGAATGCGTTTCTTTTCGAGATCATCGTTGTCGACTGTCTGACCCTCCTCCAGTTCTGAACCATCGTCCGACACCAAGCCTTCCTCCGGAGATCTGAATGATACGATTTAGCTTGAATTTCTCGGAAACTTGAATGCCGAGCAAATGCGAAACGATGTGATAACGCTAAGAAGGAACTTCTCGATATGGTTGACATAGAGCCCGATGTATTCCGAACGGAAGCGCTCACCTCAGTCGTTTCTTTCCTTTGAGAGTCTTCATCACGTCGGTTTCGCCCAGAGGTGGACTGTGATGCCGGCTCTTCTTGACGAGTCGCTGCTTTCTCTGCAAGTTGATTTTTCGCAATCGTTAATATCGAATTCATAAGGGGTGGAAAGGGCATCGTCTTTCGAATCAGCAGCCAGAATTTCCCTCGCGAAGATCTGCGTATCGAGTTCAACCGTGAAAATGGAGATATCAACGACCGAACTCACATCACTGTCGGGTATATCACTTTGGCGCTTATGCTTCTTGTAAATGCCGCCGGTATTGTGGTGCCTCCGTTCGCGATCGCGTTCATCGTGAGTTTTCGGCGGATGAACGAACCGACATTTGGATCCGAATTGACAACGACCATGGAGATAGTTTCTGCAGACTTCTTGAGTTCTCTGTGATCGGAAGAGAGAAGAAACTCCGGATGATTTCGTATTGCTTTCGAAGCCGGGCCTCTCGCCGAGCCGCCGCGGTTTCGAAGCTCGAAACCGAAACTGGCGCCCTAACTAACTTCGACAGACTCGCGGGATCGAAATAGGTTGTTCCGGACGGTCTAGCTCCTCTTCCTAATCTTACCTCGAATGCATATCCTCCACCAGTTCCACCCAGTCTGTCGAAGACACTCGTCCGCTTGGACGTCATGTCTCCCTGGTCGGGACTGCGGGGGGTATCAGCCAATCCCTCAGGTGAAGTTCTGCAAGAACCTCACAGCTATTTTAAGGTATCCGTCGACGTGGAATTCCGACATTAACAACGATTTCGGCAACGTTCTTCAAAGTCTGGGGCAGGAGCTGCGGCGGCAGCATCTACAACAACACACACGGGCTCTGTGTTTTGTTTAGAGACGAGATCTGTTGACGGAGGCCGCCATCTTCGTTTCCATAGAATTCAAATCGATCGTGGCGCGAAAGGCGATGATGGCGGCGGCCGCGGCAGCGGCGACGACGAAACCCATCACGGAACAACGACAATCACGCAGAGGAGATACGAATACGTGCGTAGGCAACAGGAGATCGTATCCAGGGGTGTCAAGCGACAGCTTGCGCTGTTGCTCGGACAACCGCCGACTACGGCCAAGAAACAACGATCGATCCGAGGCTTCCCTCTCAAGACTCGAGAAGGGGTCGTTTTGATTCTAAGTGGAGAAGGAGCTCGCAGAACTCTTTGCGGAATTCCGCGACTCCCCAGAGCTTGGCCATCGAGGTAGAACCGAGCGCGGAACGTGATCACAACGAGGGTAATCGAAATCATTTGTCTTTCCTAGCCAGACAGTTGGGATTTTGCGCTCACCGATTCATCATTCTGACGTCACCGACCTCCGTTCGTTCGGGTGATGGTGAGCGCGGGCAGCTGGTTGTTGGCGACGCAGGTCCGTCTTCGAGGAATTCGTGGAGTCCACCGTGCCAAGAGCGGCTGCATTCGGAGGTCTCGTCCTTTTTGACGAATTTAGCTGCTAGACCATCTTCTCCTCTTAAACACATTATTGACTTAGTGCTTCGAGGAACCTTGATCATATCACTCGATTTCAAGCCTCGCGTGAACTTTTTCGTCTTCACTTCTCTTCGGGAAGCTTCATGACCTGTGAGCTAAAGCCGGACAAAGCGGAGTCCGCTATGATTTCTACAGAAAGCGTGGGGTGAAGAAGCCGACACGTGTAGCTTGGCAGCGCGTGCGGAGTCATGAGCCTAGATACTCTTGCTCCCTCAATAGTTGAGAGGAACGCGCCTCCACCCGAATGCTTCCAGCAACGGGGCTCGTTCAAAATCCGCTGCTATCGAAGTTTTCTAGAATACGCCGGGCCTCATAATAATCGAATGGGCAAGAATTATTCAATCTCACCACCTTCTGTCGTCGTGTGTGCGGGAAGTCGACATCGGATCCACAGCTGTCGATTCGCTGCATTTCTCCAGCGGAGTATTCGCCTGACCGTCTTGAAGTTGAGCCCGCCGGCCCGGTTTTATGCTTCTCGGGTCCTTCCGGTGAGAACTCCTCGTGGCTTGCGGGTTCTGTACGTGTGGGAGCGAAGATGAACAGTCCGCGTCCGAGCTCGCTTTATTTTCAGCTGAGTGTTCGGAAAGCGCGTTTACCGCGTTCGGAATCCTGAATAATGAAGCCGAGGGCGGCGAAATCGCGAAAAGCGAGCCGCTTGTTTTCGAAGTCGACGCTGATGGAGCGTTCTGTGCATTGGCAAGAAATTCGAGACTGGCTCCCGACGATGCGATTTCTCTGCTGCTGGGTTTCCGTGAAACCGTGCGCGGGTCTCTCGTCTCTACATTTTGGGATATTTTGGAAGGTTCCGGCGTTCCGCGCGGTATTATCGAGGATGGGCTCGTGGGTATCGTTTGGTCGTGCGACCATCTCTTCCGATCGGTGTACGTGTTCTGAAGAGTTTCAGAGCCCCTGCCGCCTCCACCGGTGCAGAAAATTTGCATGGAAGAGCCATTCATGGTTTCGTACAACGGGGGTTCTCGGTCAGGACTCTGTCCTCGGCAAGGGACGTGGGAGAGCTTATGCACCGGTAGCGTTCCGTTAGCCTTCGGATGATAGTCGACTTCTGCGCTCATGGGATAATGCTTCACTCGTTTGTGTGATGGGCTCGTAGCTTGTGATTCGACTTCGCATCTGCCGTCGCTGCGCGAAGTTTGTACGGGCTCTCTGATGAAAAGACTTCTGTGGCCTGTCCGGATACTGGGGCTTGGATTGCGCCGATCGCCATGGAGTTCCCGACTTTCTCCCGAGTCCTCGTGCTCCATCGGACTGAAAGTTATTTTTTTGCTCCGCTCTCTAGGGGGAGTGTACGATTTCTCGTCGTTTGCGCTCGAATGAGACGCTTTGAATGAGGTCTCGGAGAGAATACTGGGACTCCGCGGGGTTTCCAGGGACTGGGAAACAAAAAATAAAGTGATCTGAATCGCTGATTCGGAGAGTTCCTCAAAAAAAGAAAAAAAAATACGCAGACCACGATCAGTGAATCGAACCTACCGTATTTCGACTCGAATGCTTGGATCTTCTCGGTTTTTTTTCGGCTGAGTCTGCGTCGAACGTTCCCGCTTTCTCGCAGTCCTTCTCATGCGATCGATTCGGTCCTTCACAATGGCAATCACTACCCGACCGATTGTAGTTGTCGTGTTGATATTTCCTCGAGTAGTGCCCGTTAGAGTAAATCCGACTCCGGTAGCTGTCGTGAGATTGTCTATAATTTTGGCGCTCGGAATCTCCGCAGGCGAGCGAGGAGGAGTACCGGGAGTCCCTACGAAGGCAAGCGGCCGACGTGGCTGACGATCGAGAATCACGAGCGTATCTCTCCGATGAACCGCTCTCAGGGTTCTTAGCTTCGGCTGATTTGAATCTGTACGAATCCGTGTAGCGATGGTAGGAGGACCGCGACGAGTCCTCTGAAGCGATTTTGTAAGGCTCCTGGTGTTTATGGCATCGAGGAGTGTAATATTCTCGCTGTCGATGATATCTCCCCGAGCTGCTGGAGCTTCGAGAACTTTGTCGGGAACCGGGACGTTCATGACGAGAGTGATCAGCAGCCTCGTCCCTATACACAAGCCGCCTCCGACGATGCGATCGATCATCTGAATAGTAACTTGTTGAGAGCTGAGATTGCGCGTGGTCGTTCGAAAGACGTCCGGCTTCATGATGACCATTCGTCCTGAAAACGTTTCCGGAACACTCTCCGGGGGGCGGACTTCGCGGTGTATCCGTCCTCCTTTCCCACAGAGGACTTTCGGAGACCGCATCGAACTTGGCCTGGGGAATGCAGTTCTCCAAACGGATCTCGAGGGGTTCGTCGACGAGTTCCCACGTGAAGCGAGGTTGGGGCTAGATTGCGGAGGAAGAATTCCCAGAAACGACGGTCAGAGCGAGTCGGACAGAGCGGGAAAACTTCCCGATGTAACTTGAATGACTCCTTCTTCGTGCTCTATCTCTTGTATCGGACAACTTATGAACTGTCCTTCCGATCGACGTTCCGGAGAGCGTTACCGTTCAGGCACACAAATGGATTCCTTTTTTAGGCACTCTACGTACTCACTTTTTCCCTAATTCCCAGAATTTCGGTCAAACGCCACTGGATCTCCATCGATGACGGGTCGATGTTCGTCCTCACTTTCCAATTTCAGCGACCCGGATTGAGAAAAATAAACATCTTGGTCGGCACCATTCGATTTCTTGAGACAACTGAGCCACCTCTCGAGGCTAGTCTAGTCGAAGTCGCGCGCATCTCTCATTTCCGCGGCCGCCGCCGCCGCTGCTGCTCAGGTGTGGACAGCTGCTCCTACAAGAGATAGGGAGAGGAAAACGGCGAAGATCCGAGCTGAGCCTGACGTGTCGTAGCTCGGGCGCCGCCACGTGATTGAAAGTGAAAGCCGCATTGAGGAAGCGGCAACAGCATTGAAGTCGCCACTTGTTGCGCCGTAATCTCCATGGAGACCTCGTTCCCGTCAGTGGCGGTGTTCTCCGGAATGGAGTGCACGGCGCGGCGGAGTCCGCACGGCCTCACCCAGGAACTGGCACTCTGACTGACCGACCGACCGACAGCTTTCTTCCTACCCGCTTCGCCCGTGCGTCGCTGGCGTATCGACGGGCCGAGTCTTTCTTTATTGTGTTCCGTGCTGCTGTATTTTCTCAAGTCTTCGAGCGGCTCCTCTCTCCGTCGCCGAATCGATTTCCACTTCGCGCCGTCGTTCCTCCATAAAAACTGATTCAATCGATAGCACGAAGGAGCTCTTAATTCACAGCATTCATCCCCGACCGCTCCGTGCACCGAGTACACAAAGAAGCAGGACCCTCACTGGATGCGATTCCCCCACTGGTCGGAGCCATTGTCATGATTTCCTCTCGATCAGAGCGACCGTACTGGCGGGGAATGAGACTGAGTGAGCTTCCATCAGATCATGAGTTTTCTACGGCATTCAGAAGCCGCACAGGAGCTCCATGCTCCTCCGGGAAGGATCTCGACAGCCAAATACATGTCTCATCGACTCGCGCGTGATCGAAGAAACATCCAAGTGTGGAGCGAGATTCGACTAAGGGATTGGGGAAGCTCCGATCTCCGATTGTCGATCGCAGACTCCGACGTCTTCAATTACCGCAGGGCGTCCGAGATCCGTCCCGGAGCTCTGATCTGGAGCGAACTCTCTGCCATGACTCCGAGAAGATTTTCCTGCCATCAGATCATAAGGAAGCATCGGCAAGGAAGCTCGATACCTGCTCGCCAAGACCCCAGAAGAGAACCTCGGACTCGCTACCTTTTATTTTGCGTGAATTCCGGCTCTCTCGTCGAGGGTCGGGGGCAGGAGAGGCATCGTATCGTCGAAACCCTTATGCGAAAGATTTTCGGAAGGCTCCGTAACGGTTTGCCCGAGAGGATGTTTCAGGTTTCCCGGTAACAGGAAAAATTCGCTGGAGGATCCGCGCCCCACCCAGCCAGACTTGGGTGGTTGAAGCTAATGGTCCGGGAAGCCACTCTAAGAACTCGGAGACATAAGCTTTCAGACTCTGGAGGACTCCCAGACTTCGAAGGATGCAGGAGAATCTGACAAACTCTCGATTCCCCGAAAGGTCATCGTGGCCAACCGACAGCTTCTTCTGAGTCCTCGAGGCGCTAAAGAGAGATATTTGTTCGCAGAGTGTTGTGAAGGTCGGTGTCGAGTCTCTCGAGAGTGGTACGGAACAAATATGTTCGCATTCCTGATCCTCTCTCAGCGACGAGCCGGTTCTGGCATTTGTGTCCGCGAGTTGAAACAAGCGGTGAACCGATCTGCATCTTCTTGTCCGAGCCTCGTGATAATCGCGGGTGCGATACACGTTCGATCGCCCATCTCGATTCTTCACGTAGACTAAATCAGAGTTTGGAAACTCATTCGAGGCCTGTCTGATCTCTCCTAGCAGGCAACAGAAGATTCTGATGCAGTTCCGAGTCGAATAAGTCTCTCTCGTCCGGGATGGAATGCTGCCCCGCACCAAATCCGCGCGGGACATCCATTTTTCTCCCCCGTTTGCCTTCGCAGGATTTTGTTTCGCTAACTGGTCGGGATTGGGAGCCCAATGCACGTTTAGACGGTCTTCTTTCGGTCGGCAGCTCTCGATTTCGAGGAGGCTAGCGCGCCCTATCAGTCTGCGGCAGCAGACTATTATTTCCTCTTCGGCGCGCCGCCGCGCCACTGTTGTTGTCTCCGCCGCCGCTGCCGCGGTCAGCTGTGCGCACGGAGAGGCAAAACAATATTTTTCCGGCAAGACCATTTTCAGCTGTTGGAGGCGCGCGGATTTTACCAGTCTCTGTGCTAGAAGTGGCTTGTCACGCAAAACACCACGAATGACGAGCCTCAAGCGAATATCAGGCGGAGGAGCGCCCAATGTGAGTATTGCGAGTTCTCCAATTCGAAAGGTGCCTCGGAAACTCTCTCGATCGTCGCAACTCATATTCTTCCCAAAAGCGGCATGATGTCTATGCTGTCGTTCCTTGTCAAGATCTACGTGACAAATCCGTTCAGATGACGAGTCAGGGCAGGAGTTCTAATGCCTGCCAATAATTTCGGGCCATCATCAGAGTTTCTACACCAGCCATGACAAACGTATTGACGAGCAGTCGCGGTTCTGATTTCCTATACCGGCAGACTATGCGTGATCGATGTCGTCCACGGATACGTCTCACGTCTCGCGCCAAGAATGACGTGGCCCGCCCGAAGTGAAGCACATTGATGCACAAATTATGAGATTGTGTCGGGGGTGTCCTCTTCGCTAGCGAAACTGGATCCCGTCCCCATTCCCCCCGATGGGCACTCCGGCTCGCAAGCCGCGCGAAGAAAGGGCTTTTTTCGACTGATTGAACTCGTCTTCGTTGCAAAATCATTTAGTCTAACATGCATACAGTTTGTCTCCGCGGGGTCTGAGTCCCTCGAACTGATATTCAGTCCGAGTCCCGGTCACCACTATCGGAAACGCGGTAAAACTCCGAGGCTTAGACTGATATGAGATATGAGGACGGTATCGCAAAAATACAGAAAACTCAGGCACCATGGAATCGCCGGTGCTTTCCGGTCATTCATCTTCAGCCTGCACGAATCGTCCAGTCCGCGAGGCCCACTTATACTGATACGGGAGCCTGCGCATTTCTCCTCACGCAAGACAGAGGCCTTCCGAGTTTTAGAGTCGTTTTCTTTCCTTCGAGGATTCCGAAGAGCGCGCGAAGCGATTCAGGAACGAGGGGACCTCCGTCAAGTCGAGACTCGGAGGATTCGTTGACGACAAGGCTCCTCAGGCCAGGAAAGTTGCAACTCATGAACGTCTAGGACCGAAACCCACGAAATCAACTCCGGAGCCCGCAGTTCCTCGCCCACAAAAGACAGCAGTCGTTTGTAAGTAGTCGTTCTTCTCCTCCACAATCATGATTCATGAAGGAGGAAAAATGAAAGACCAGTTCGACCGGACAATGATCCGACTTACTAGATACATACAATTTCTCCATTCGCCATTTTTCCCTCCCGGGGCGACAGGCCAACCTGCTCGATATCTGTTCGTCACACAACTCCATCGGAACACGTCCGAGGTCTTACTGTTGTTCCATCCGAGTATACTCGCTGATTTCTTCTAGGGTCTAGCGATTCGCCGAGGAGAGAAGCCCCGAAACCCAAAAGCACTGTAGATCTCCGTACGGAAAGGAATTTGAGCAGCCGTAAAGCACTCAATGGCGCGGTTCGTGGACTCTTCCTCATCTCTGTCCGATTGTTCTTGACCTCTACCAAGCCGACCCGTGGAACGGGATATCGGAACACTAATTTTTCATTTCCGAACCTCTATGGTTTTATCCCGTTCGCGTCTGAATCAGTTATATCTGGCTTCCAGTCTGCCGATTCGGAGCGACGGCACGCGGCGAGTCACATAGATCTCAAAGTCAAAAATTCGTTGACGGACATCGATGCTCGGGACAGCGCAGCGGCTGATGTTTCAACCGGGAAATTGGGGACAGTTCTCCACGGAATCGGTGAATACAGAGCCTCCCCTATAGGCTAGGAGAAGATTCGATTGAGTCTGTACCCTATGCAAGAATGAGCCTTTTTCAGATATCAACACGAAATTGACCACCGGCCTTCTCGACACTCATACGCACATAGACTTCACTCTGAATACTCATAACTCGCATGAGTCCTCCTGGAAAGACTTCTTCAAGGTCAGTATTGCTCCACCTAATCTCCGAGGAATATCTCACTATCTCGTCGAATTCCGAAATTCGCACAGTTCGGCGAGTGAGCGATACAATCGAGCTTCTTACAGAGGTTCTCAGCCCGGTTCCCGTCGTGCTACGAGGGTGCAATCGCAGCCTTCTGTCAGCCAAATAGTTTGACGTGTTCCTCACCGATGCTCAACGAGGTGCGAGGAATTGATTGATTGATTACTATCTCGAGCACGAGGGATGTATCCTCTTTCCCCGCTCAGGCAGGTTCTCTCTCGCATTATGTCTAATCGCTTTCGACCGTGCTCAGGTTTTTCAGGACGAGCGGATCTGGATGACATTCGGGATACATCCGCATTTCTCAGACCAATATTCAGAAGACGCACTGCGCGCTTGTTTGCACAAATTCAAAACGAAAATCGTCGCTTTAGGAGAAATCGGACTAGACACTTCGAAAAAGTAAAGCATAGGCAATCGTCGTCTTCAAAGCGATCGGGTCTCTGGACAGATCGTCCCCGAGGGCAACGTGGCCTAATGTTTTCTTCGGCAACGATCTACAGGAACCATGTCAGCTTAGAGGTACAGAAAGAAGTGTTCCGGAGTCAAGCCGAGATCGGAATCGAGAACGGTCTCCCCCTGGTGATCCACACGCGTGTCCATGACAATAATGAAGAAACTCTGATGTTCATGCGGAAATTCGTCCCCAGACATCATAAGATACACCGACACTGCTTCACAGGGTGAGGTTCCTCAGCCCTTAATAACATATTAGGATATACCTATATGGATAATTTGAAAGCGACGAGGATTCATCGGAATCAGTTCTCGGATTCCGAAGGGGGTTGACTTCTAGCCTACCTTACAGAACTTGGGACGAAGCAAACGACTGGCTCAGCCATTTCAAAAATTGCTATATTGGATTCACAACCTTAATCAATACGCAGTCCGATCTTATGAAGGTGGGTGACCCCGCGAGAAATTGAAACATTTCCCCGGATATTCTCTTTCTTACACATACTTGCTCATAAGTTCACTTGACATAGACCTCCGATCGGGAGCCCTTGACATGACCCCGAAGGCTGAATATTGATATTTCACCGAGCAGGTCGCAGCACGGATCCCATTCGATCGAATATTGCTTGAGACGGACTCACCGTATTTCAAGAATGGACTCCCGAGTCTCCACGATGGGGGTCGGCCGGTGGGAACCATGCCCGGAGATGTCATCTACACGGCAGTGGGAGTCGCAAAAGCTCGCGGCATCCCGCTCGAAGCCGTAATCTGCCAATGTCGGCTCAACGCTAAGAGCGTCTTCGGAATTTGACGAATGAATTTCACCCGTAACCGAGAGCTAATCCTCTTTGCCACACCCGTTCTCAGAAATCCGTCGTGACTTCGTTCCTAATGATGTATATTCATTTTTTGTGGAATGAATAAAAAGCCCATTCTCTCCGGTTCCTGGTACAGCTCCGTAGCGGGAATAAGGATCGTTGGTGCGAGAGCTCTGAGCCGAACTTGAGCTGGGGGCTCACACATTAAAAGGAATAATTCACAGTGGACTCGGGATGATCTTACTCCCTTGAGCGAGATTGCTGTCCGAGGAAAAACTATTAGCATCGGAATTGATGTTTGATAACCCCATGATGATGATGAGATCGTTCGTATTGATAAAACACTCAGCGAGTCCGATGTAGAGAGTCTCAGGTCAGTGAGACTCCGAAGGGTCAGGAACCCCAAGCATCGCGCTTTCCTTAGACGACGGACTGATGGGAGCGATGTTGATCGATCAAATCGAATGCGCATCCGCGGTAAACAAACACCCAGGGTATTTGGAGGATTTTTACTCAATGTCGAGATTCGGTCCACCACAGAGTTTTATGCTGTCCTTCATGTAGGCCCGATCCTGGTCCGTGTCGAGCGATTCCATGTAGCTGTTCATGGCTGCGAAGCCGTCATCGCCCATGCTCCTGCACATCATTCGGACCACTTCACCCATAGTCAATTGTCCGAAAGCTGCAATCTAGAGAGTCCGAATCACTGATAGAGCGTGGAGGTTCTCGCTCCGGATGGAGCCAGCATCTTGGCTGTCGCGAGGAAACCGGACCGCACAACCAGGGGAGGGATCGAACACATTACCTGAATCTCGAAGTCTTTGACGAGGTTGAGCCGATTATCGCCAATAGCTCGAGTCAGTGTACACGTCAGGAATTCGTTGATTCGCGCCGGTGTCAATGCGCAAACATTCTTGAAAGGAGCAACTGGTACAAACGATTGTTTCGTGTAGCTCAAAGGTAGGGTGGATATCGCGAAGAGAAGCGCAAATCGCATGCCCATGGTCGGGTATCGGTGAACGGATCGCGGCTCCTCGAAGACTCCCGGATAGAGCTTTCGCTGTCGGTAGCGTAATGAGTCGAGCCAAACAACAGGCCGAATTAATTCATTCGTAAATTGAAATTAGAAATTCTTTGATTCGGTGTGTTTCCTCGCCGATTCCCAGACATGCTCTGAGCCGAAAGATCGAGACGAGCGAGCAGCTGATTGACTCCTGAGCAAGTCAAGCCGCACGAAAGCTAAAATGACTTCCCAGGCGGATTCTCCGAGGGGACTGGGATCTCCGTAAGGATTCCAGGAGAGCTCATATCAGACTTCTTCGAACCTCGGGCGGCGAATGACGATGATTTGTCCTCGTCTGATGAATAAATATATTTATTCTAGAACTGACGTCGAACATGTGAGTTGTGGCAACACGTGTGCTCCGCAATGAGTACAAGCACAACCTTCATTCTTACCTAATATTTACAATATGAGCTCAATTCGCAACCTACTTATCGATTGATCAACCGATGGCTGAAGTTTCTACTTACATGCTTCTCTCGTACCTAGATGGCATCTAACTACCGCCACGATTGAGCGTCCCACATCGTACTCCTATGATGCATCGGGGTGGGCATCATCATCGTAGGAGGTGGACCTCTGGACATGGCGCGTTGGTAGGGGTCAGGGGTTCGGCCCCTCATTGTCATAGCACCCGGTGTCCGGCAGGTGCACGGCGCGGAAGGAGGCCTCACACAAGTGCATTTCGAGGGCAGGGGCATGGCAATGTGCGGCGGTCCCCAAGTTGGGGGGTAAGGGCTCTCCTCCTCGCGATTGTACCACTTGCATATACAGACACCGATTGCTATGGTTGTCACCGTGACTACAATGGCAGAAATTATAATAATGATGAGCATGTCGACCTTGGTCAAGAAAGGCGGATCCAAGACCACGGTCTTCCGTACGACCAGGTCCTGAACGAGGGTGGGCGAAGGTCGGTAGGGTTTCCTCAGCAAACTCTCGTCCAACTTGAAAATGTCCTCGGACGAAGCCGCGGGTGAGTTGCTCTCTCCCCGACCCAGATCGTTCGATGAGATATCGGTTGTAACAAAGTCACTATCACATCGCAGCTGGGTCTCCTGGAGGTTGACCAGCGGGATTCCCCGAAGAATCAACGGGGTATAGCACCGGAGGGTTCCGGCTTCGGAGAATTTCTCCGGCTTGGTCATTAGGGTATGGTAAAGATCTGTGGAGTTGCAATCGCATTGTAGAGGGCTTCCTTCGAATGACGTGACCATGAAATTGGGTCTGCCGTTGATAAGCTGAATGAGATGAGAGTCCACGTGCATGATTTGGCTGTACTCGGCAGACAGACGAATACGTGAGGAAAGTGGCAGCGGTAGGAAGAGCGACGCCGGCAGGTTCCGGATATTTGTGTTGTAAAAGATTAATTCGAGTCTCTCGGATCGGAGTCCGGCCAACGACGTCGGCGAGAGCTGCTCCAAAGTGTCTCCTGCTATGAGGAGTTTCTTCATTCTTGGATTGTAGAGTTTGTGGAGCTGGGTGCCAAGTGAGGGTGCTTTGATCTCCACCATGAGCGTTTCCAACGAGTTCGAGATCTCGATGCATGAATAGTCGAGCTCCTTGATTTTCGGATATCCGAGAACCTCGAGGTTGTTCAGTCGTTTTTGTGAGCTCAACGACTGGCACTCGAGTCGAGTCAAATTGTTCAGACCGGAAAGCTTCAACGTCGACAGCTCGCTCAGACCGAGGAATGTTTTCTTATTTATTTCGAACAGCTGGTTGCCGCTCAGATCGAGATGTTCGAGTCTCGGGAGAGATGTATCCACTCCGTAAAAATTAACGATTCTGTTGCCAGCGAGGTCGAGTTTGATCAGACCGTTCGCCCGTTTGAAGGTCGATTTCGCCAAACCACTGATTTCGTTATCGGACGCGACGAGTTCTCGTAGGAACGGCGTTTCTAAGTCTGGAATAGCACGGAGCGAAACATTGCTTATGTGTAGGGTCCGCAATGACTTCGGTTCCCCGAGAAGAACGTAATGCGCATCCGATGTGAGCGGATTGTGCGAAAGATCTATGTGTTTCACATTGACGAGAATGTCGGCGTTCGATGGAATGCTGCGAATAAGGTTCATCGAGAAGTTCGCTCTATCTATCACGGAGTATTGACGTCTCAAGGATATTTCGGGGAATTCGAAGAATTGATTTTCTGCGAGATCGATCGCTTCCAGTGCGAAGACGTTGCTCCTCGAGAACGTATTCTGCGGAATCGTGTGCAGTTGATTGTCTTTCAGCGACAAACGCAGCCTCGAAAGATTGTTGAAGCACTCTTCGGTGAGAGCTTCGAGCGCGTTGTGACTGAGGTCGATGCTGTACAGAGACGAGCAGTTCGCGAATGGTGTGCCCTCGATACTATTGATCTGGTTCATGGACAGGTCGAGATGGGACAGACTCCTCAGAGGAGAAAACGTTCTGTGTTGAATCACTTGCAGCTGATTGGCGGACAGATCGAGATTCTTGACATTGGGGAAACTACGCATACTATCACCCGATAACTGTGTGAGCATGTTGTTGCTCAGATTCACGTCGCTCAGGGCGAGATGGATTCCGAAAAGGTCATCCCGGAGCTCCTGGAGGCGGTTGAAGGAGAGATCGATCTTCGTCAGGCTGAAGGGGGAGTTAGACGAGATATTGAAAGCTCGCAATCTGTTGTAAGAGAGATTGAGTTTTCGCAGCTTCTTCACGTTGAGTTTCGCATCGGTGAGGTAGTTCCCACTGAGATCGAGCTCTTCCACGTTTTCCACATTGATACTTCTTCCGAACGCTTCGAGACCGTTGTTGGCCAAGTTAAGGTACTTGGCATTGAACGAGCTTCCGAAAGTGTTATCAAAAATTATCGATATTTGGCAACCGCTTATATCAAAGTACTCAAGCTCGTTGAGATTCTCGAGCCATGCCGGGTCGATTTTGCTGAAAAGATTCTTCGAGAGAACGAGCTTCTTAAGCTTCGCAGAGGTTGCGAACATCTTGGAGTGCAAGTTCACTAGTTGATTACCGCTGATGTCGAGAATTTCGATAGCGCTCAAATTCAGCATCGGCATGTAGTTGATTTGATTCTCCCCGATGTCGAGATGCTTGAGAGATCCCTCGAGACCGGCATAGCTCGACGGGGTGAATTTCTTCAAATTATTCCCACGCAGTCGCAGTACCCTCAAGTTGGACATCTCACGGAAAGTGCCCTCGGGGATCTCGGTTAGAAGGTTGTGGTCCAATGACAGATACCGGAGCTTCGTGGCGTATCGAAGCAATTCCGCAGAAATGGCGGCGATGCGATTGAAGTTGAGGTGTAGCATCGTAAGGCTTTTGAGTTTGAGGAAAATTTCCGTGGGAAACGACAAGAGCTGGTTGTCGTTGAGGGAGAGCTCCTCGAGGAGCTCCATATCGGTGACATGGGACTCTTCGAACTTCCTGATGATATTCGCATCGAGAATCAGAGTCTTGAGACGGGCGAGTCCTTGGAACGTATTCGACTGAATCTGGACGATCTCGTTCCAGGCCAAATTGAGGTATTCGAGTTTCGTCAGCTGGGCGAAGGGACTGTGTCCCAAGTTGCGGATTTTAGCTCTCGAAATATCCAGTTTCGAAAGAGACGTAAGTTTCTTGATGCTCAGAGGTACCTCTTGGAATAAATTATTGGATATGTTCAACGTGTGAATGCTGCCGAGGCCGGCGAGATGAAGATCGCTTTTGATGTAGTTGGATGATAAGTCCAAGGTTTCCAAGCTTTCCAAATGGGACAAGCCCTCGACCTCGACGGATGAGATGGAATTGTTCGCTAGACTGAGCACTGCAAGGTTCTCCAGATGCGGAAATTCGAAGACGCTCTTGATTCGATTAGCGCTCAGGTCTATTTCGCGGGCATCTTCGAGGAATTTCAGAGCAGCCGACGGCAGCAATTGGAGCTCGTTATCACTCAAATCCAATTTCTGGAAGGAAAAACATTCCGGATTAGACTGATTGACTCTTTTCGTTCATCAACAGTGTCCGATTTGTTATCATCGACAGCTCGATAGTATCTCGTTAGAGCCGAACGCTCCGAACGGCTACGCAACTGGTTTCCCAAGACTGCGGAATTTTGGAATTGTTACAAGAGCTGCTTTCAACTAACAAAAAGAATGCCACAAAAACACAATCGAGATCGGCTATCGGAAGAAGATGGAAGGAGTTTATTTGCATTCTGAAATTGCGTTGCTCGGCTTTCGTATCGATTTCCAATCTGTGCTGTGAGCAGCCGACGTGATGGCTGACCCCGATCTGATTTTCACGCGAATGACGGAAACATCAATCACACAAACTGGTCAAGAATTCCGCCGGAGAGCGATTTCGGGTGTATCTTCTACCGCGTGGCATGTTGGACAAACGAAAACGTCTCACTGATTTCACACATTTCCAAAATCCGTTCTCGCCAGTCTGCTTCGATTCCCCCGAACAAAACGACCCGGAACTTTGTGCGCAAAGCTTCACGGAGGGTCAAACTCGGATGAGATACGGCGCTCCACATATCAATGCGGAACTGACAAACATCGAAAGATCCTGAGAGTCTCATCAAAAAACTTTAGAGTCCAGAGGAAAGGCGTTCTATCTGAGTTGCAAGTCGACGTTCATTCTTGACCCCTCGATTCGGAAACACCTCACCGGGACTCGCAGTTGATGTCCAACACCTACCTCAGGTTCAATACAATACAATTCATGCGAGATCGACTGGGAGCAAAGAAGATGCACTCTGGAGTGATTGTCAAATCGAGCCTTCGCCCGCCCGGAAAAAAGCTACTGTTTTTTCCTGCTAGGCCCTCCGCCGCGCCGTGGAAAAGTTTTCACGGTAAATGCAGAGTTGTGAGGACCCACGACGTCAAAATGCGTTTACGCGAGAGGTTACCTTGCCCCTCCCGTATGGGACGTGGGGAAAACTCGGAGGAATGCATTTGAAAACCAGCGAATATATCCGACCCCGACGAATTCAACTTCGACGTTCTCAGGCTCTCGTCACCGGGACCCTGTGACAGATCGAAAACCTTACAGACTGGAGCGCGAGTGACTCTTTTGAATCAGCTTGAAACGAACTCGGAAACGACATGAGCCTCGTGTGCTGATCAAGAGCAAGGTCATGAGCTCGGGGGAGTGCTCCACAGACCACTCCTCCCACGATCCACTCTCGCAAGGATTTTTTCGACACGACGGTTTAAAAAACTTTCTTGTGATTACGATATTCGGCCATGACTTTGAAATCCGGGAGCGCAGCCGTTTTTGGACAGACCACGATATGTAGAACTGCTGATAAGTAATTCAAGAGCTCTTGATCCCACAGCAATCGGTTCCCGGCTCTCACTTTCAGTTTTTTCGACGGGAACCGATCATGGGCTTAGCTTGACGGGATCTCGCCGCTCGATCTGATCGACAATCCGTCGGATGTGATTTTGTCAGCGATCATGGGCTGGGAGTTTTTTCTTCACGAAAATTATCGCGATTTATGTCTCAATGCCTCGATCTTCTCGTCGCAATGTCCGCAGGTGAGTCCTATCGGCCGAGGGACCGGCCCACCAGCCGACCAACTGCTGTGCTAGCTCGTTTGAGAATGTAGGTTGATCATATATACGCGTTCAACTGTTTGAAACAGGCGGATTGATAGAGCGTCGTTAATGTTCATGTATCCCAGCCGGGAGAAGGAGGAACGCTCGCTGCTCGAACAAATTCTAGCGTCGACGGATTCCTTCGGTGACCCGGTGGCTAATTTCGGACGCTCGCTCGGATCAGTTCACCGAAGCGGCGGCGATGGCGGCGGACGGCGGCGCGGCGTCATGGACTTCTTTCATGCATCAGTCAGAATCGGAGAAATATTTAGCTTCACCTTCCCTGTAGCGGTCGCCGTCGGTCGGAGGAAATAAAAACGAAAGATTTGCTAGGAAAGACACGACGTGACCCCTCCGAAGGGATTGATCAGCGATTTCCCGTCGCCTAGCCGGTGGACGTCCGTTTTCGCGTATGATTGGCTTAGCAACGAAAGCGTGTGAGTCCTCAGATTTCGACCACAGATTTCGACCATGGATTCTGTATTGATGATGCGATCCGAAAAGAGGACTCCAGCGGATGCGGCCATAGGGATCCCGTCTATGACATTCGACCAGAGCCTCAGGCAAGATCGTACCGAATCACATGTGCCCGGAGATCGTGGGAGGTCAGGATTCGGGAAGCGGCCCAGAGGAGGCAGAACAACCCATCCTGCCAGATCATCGAAAGAGAATCCACGACATAGGGAAGGATCGAGACTTGGAAAAAGAAACAAAGAGCGTAGGGAGACAATGACGACATGACAAGAAAACGAGAAAAACAGTGAGAGCGCGCCAGCAAGATACATTACGCAATCGAGAGTGAGCCAATTCGCTTCTTTAGTCTAAGAAGCTGAACTTCACCGAAATTCCGAAAAACGTCATCACAATACGGCCCGACACGTCCGAGGCGAAACCTTCGCCCAAAACACGGATTCAAGGAAAGTGGAAAATAGCGGGCGGACGAACGGGCGGGTGCGCGGGCAGCAATGCCGGTCGCTCTTCTTGGAGTGAAACTTTGACATGTTACGTATTCTGCTCAGCTCGCTATTCAGACCCACATTTCTGTGTTCACATCGCTTGTCGGGGTGCTATAAACGGACCAACGCTACGTCCAACGCTTTCAATTCATGAATGGTATTCGATTCGACAGAAAGAAAAATAATTATATTCGCGGAATGAAAGGACGCGACGACTAGCGAATGCGATTCTCGAGCCATCTGGATCATCATTTCTAGATTTGGTTCCCCGCTCTTATTCTCAGATTTCCTGCTCATTCATTGGCGACTCGCCGGGGTCCGCGCTGCTGGAATACTTCTCTTGTGCTCACCTTCAAAGCCTTCATTCCTCGGAAAGTGTTGTCGCCGATCGCCTTCAGTTGATTGGCTCTCAGGCCGAGATATTTCAAATTAGTCAGCTTGTTGAACTCCTTCGAGCCGAACACTGGGTTCAGTTGGTCTCCGAGAAGATTGTGGGAGAGGTCCAAGTGTTCCAAAGTGTCTTCGATGCCATCGAACACCTAGAGCGAACAGAGACGCTTTCAATTCTCTCCGCTCGGATCGTCGCCTCTTATAAATTATCAGCGGCATGTACGTCCTGGTGAATTTTTCGTTAATCTTGCGATTAGTCAATACTCCGCCCTAGAAGGGGTGTCTATTCATGGTCGTATTGGTCCATCGTTTTCGAATCGAAGTAAAAATCATTTTCGTGAGAAGCACACCCGTGTCTCAGAGCATACAAATCCGCTTCTTAAAGCAGGGGCATTCGAATGAGAAATTCCGTCTTACAAACCTTATCCGTTATCCGCCTCAATAAATTGGACGAGAAGTCGAGTTTTTGGAGGGGTATATCGCTCGCGGTGAACAGCTGTGATTCCAAGTCTTGCAAGCCTGGGAAAAAAACAGTTTTTGAGGAAATGCTCCAGTGAAGAAACCATATCGATGAGAGTACGTGAACGTGGTGCCCTGTTCTGAATGTTTCCGACTGTTTGTCCCACAGGTTTGTGAGACATCGCGTGTGTCTGCACAAACCCGTGAACAGGAGCAAGGTCTGTTGCCTGTATTGGCAGCAGAAACGAATGCAGAATAAAGAAGAAAATCTTTGACCCCTCGGACTCCGGGAGGCTCGTCGCCGGCTTACGCGCTCAATAGGTGCTCGACAGCCGGGATAGAATGTCCGTCGCCAGACGCATTTGAAGTGAATTCAACAAAAGACAGAACGATCAGGACGCCTTCCATACATCGGCGCGCAGATCTTCCGGGAGATCGCGCAGGATATCTAGAATGCGACGATCCCACTAGCAAGATACCGCGGTTGCCTGGATTTCCCGATGAACGAAACAGGAATGGATTCGCATTGTTTGACGGAAACGAATAAGAAAGAACTTAAAGTATCACTATAGCCCGTGTCTGGTCGTAGGATGTCCATCACCCACTGATGAAGTCAACTGCTCGATCGAAAAACCGATCGATCGTCGGAAGAACCATCGCTTGTATTCCCCAGCCTTTCCGTCCGACGGGAGTCCCGAATGAGTTTCCCCCGAGAGACGCTTATCGAGAAGCACATCCTCATCCCCTTTCCTCTCTCCCCCCATCGCCCATCGAAGAACACCTGCCCGCGGTGCAGGACAACTGGGCTTAAACCAGCTGGGCCAAAATCCAAATGGGCCAAAACTAAGTGGGCCAACGAACCAACTGGGCCAAAACCAACTGGGCCAAAAATCGGTTTGCCCAGGGATGATTGCCGAGTGCTCCAACATGGGTAAAATAGGAGAATTTTGAGGAAACATTAGGACCTCGATCGGAAGAATGTCGTGTCTGCTGTTCTCCAACGATACTCCACTCAGGCACGGCTTACTTGAGGGGTTGCTTCTTAAGCACGTCACCGACCCGACATGGTTGCACGGGGAACCGCGAAGAGGCACGGAAGAATCAAGTTACTTCACGCCCAAATCAATCAAACAGCTGCGGCTCTTCAATCTACATAGATAGAATCCAAAGATAACTGAAGCTGTTTGTACTCGATTCCTGCGTAATAACGACTCCAAAATCTCAGGAGGAGCGTCTCCCTCAATACGATTCCCGTAAAGCATCGCTTACAGTTACAGTACGAGGCTCTGCTTAAAAGCGTTCCGGGTGGGATGTAGTCTCTTCAAGCAGCATCTTATCTTACTGAGTTTGAGATTCTCTCAGCCATCCGGTTTTTGGCCCAGTTGGTTTTGGCCCAGTTGGTCCCGTGGCCCAGTAGGTTTTCGGCCCAGTTGGTGTTTGGCCCAGTTGGCTTTGGCCCACTTGTCCGTGTTCGCACCTGCCCGAATTCGAGTTTCTCTCCTGAACGCGGGCCAAAGAGAGAGCAATCTACAAGTTCATGTTAAACCGGAAATGCACGTCTCAGCTGATTCAGCTTATCTCATTTAGACACATCAGAATATCGCTGGGGCCAACCTCTGAATTCGTCACGAGCGAAGCCCTGCTCCTTTGTGGTTGTGGACCGGAAGATCATTTCTGCAACACGCAGAGTGTCCTGTCAACAATCTCGAAAGATTTTTTCTCCTGATTGGGAGCGAGTTAATAATGAAAGGGTGACTGACATGCAATCGGAAAGCAGAGCCCTGGCTCATCCAGAGCATAACGATTCTCCCACGAGGATCCGTTTGGGTTCGTCTTCCATTTCTCGTTGGTTCATCCAAATATTTGCTCGCCATTCATTTATCCGTCTCAATGAGCGGCACTGAACTTGATATGTCCTCAGCTGTTTTCGTTCCTCGCGGCGCATTGAGTCATCTTGTTACCGCACTGCCCATGAACCTCATAACATTTCCGATCGGCGACCGAGGCGCCCGAATACTTAAATAGTGGTTCTTTCAATGGATGGATTATTTTGAGTGGAAGATACAATCGCGTCCGGCGTTCATTTGCAATGGAAGTTTAAAGCGGAACTTGAATCGGAACCAATGAATTCGTGAACCGACTATTTGGCGTGCGCTCCAACGACCACAGGGAAATCGACCGACGAGTCATGATGGCCCGTGACAAGAATCGGACTGATTCAAAAAAAGTTCTATATTCAGACTGTCGATCAGTCTTGGATCTGCATCTCCCGAACGAAGACGATAGATGCGTCGATGAGATGAATTTCGATCATCGATGATTAGCTACGAGTTTTTCGATCCCTCCCTATGGAGCATCCTGTGACGGGAACTTCCAGAGCCAATCGAGGCGATGCATCAGCCCATGCTCATTCAGCGACCCGAAATTCCAAGCCGAACGAATGGGACAGGCCTGAGAGTCCATCTCCGACGTCTGTCATTGTCATCGGACTGAGTGCCTGACCCCCTCCCCCGTAAATGTTGCGTCGAGTCCTGCATCAATGGTACGCAGGAGCGCATATCGAGCAGTCACTGAAATTCCAGCAGCTATGCGAAAGAAACGTGAGGAAGATACAAACGAACTACCGTCTCTAGTTTTCATCGGCATGACTCGGCTATGTGAACGAGCATTCCGTAAAGAAGACGACTTAAATGATGCCGAAAAGCTCCACCGGAACGTCCAGTCAAACCGGAAGATCGACGGCGACCACCAGCTACGATATACGCGAGACTTCGAACGAATGTCTCGTGAATCCCCGTCAGAAACATTAAACATTTCGCCGCATGTGCAATAATTGTAACGGTTCCCTTCAACGGGGCTGCGGTGCGCGTCCACCCCCATGTGGTAAGCGGTGCGGCGCCGTAGCCGGTCGGGCCTCTGCGGGAAAATGCCGATCCGTAAGCGGCGGCGGATCTGCGGGCTGACTCCGCGTCGGATCTACGCCGATACAATTGCGGGGGAAGACGCGATTGCGAGCGATCGCGTATCACTGCCTGCCTAATGTCGATATCTGTCGGCTCGTTAAACGGAGCACTTACGCTGCACGATTTGTCCAGCGTGTAGTTTAGTTCTTCGCGCTGAGGCCCGATCCGGCATCGAAGCCCTTCCCGGAAAGCCGAAGCTTCTTATGAAAGTGCGGCGTGCGCTCGATCAGCGGAATCCCGGATTGTCGGCAGCGATTCTTCATGTTTCTGGTGGTTTGGGACTGTGATCTCAATTACCTTGTAGAGTCTGAACTCCGTTTCGCTATCAAGGTTGCCTCAGTTGTGTTACTTGGCTCGGCCGGTCTGAGCGGAATAATCGACGGACGGAAACTGAATTCTTTCCATGAACCGTCGGGACCCTCGGGAAACTAGACGAATAATTTAAACCCCTCTTATCTCGGTAAATTCAATCATGGAAAGATTGCAACGGATTGCTCAAAACTCCGCTCGGAATAAATCAAGTCAAACGCGAATGGAGTCGCTCCGCTCCCAAGAAATATGGAAATTGAAGGGAGCAGAAGCCCCAAAGTGACATCAGGAAATTAAGGAATGAGTTCCGAGGCGGAGAAACGCGTCGAAACCCCGTATGAGAAAGACGTGAATGTCATCACTATCACAAGCGTTCACTCCGACTGGGGCATCTTCTGAGTTTTTAGCGGGTGAACCCTTGGTCGGGAAGAACCCTGGGGTTCACATCGTGTCGCTTCCCGGCGAGAGCCGCCTGAGGCATTGTCTCGTTGACTTGAGTTCCCTGAGCATTCGTCGTCTGTTTCATTATAATTGCGAGGCGACGATTATCCCCAGCGCGGAGAAGAATGGTCAGAAGTCGAAGCGCAGCACGACTTTCAGAGCGGTCCGAGCAAACCCGGGCCCGCAGCGTCCGAAAACAAAGAAGAGGCAACGGCAACCTGAAGATCCGGAAGTCTTTGTTGTCAACGCCGTCGTTGCTACTGCTGTCGATGTGGTGGTGAAGTCACAGAAACACTTATCGCTAATTTTGACGCTTCGAGTTTCGTCTGGAAGTGAAGGTCAGCGACGCAGATAGCAGTCGAGTATTGGTTCAGAATCACCCTGGCACGATGACACGGCCAAATAGTCGTGGGTCGGCGCGAGGCTTCGTAGTCAATACTTCTCTACTCATTTTACGAATGCTCGACATCGATCTGAAATGCATATGATGCGTTGGTGTTTGGATGTTCGGCGTTGGTTTAGGCAGATCACAGTTCGACACTAGTGAGTCAGTCTTGCTCGACAGCGGGTCTAGAACTATTGCGCACTCGCTTGTTCGGCTCTTAGAAAGCCCCTCCGCTCGGACGCAGCTCGGGCGCTAGCTCGGGTAGCAAAAATGAGCGATTGTTTGGGATCCGGGGGAAGAAAATGGAACGATACTGTTTTCCCTCGTCTTAGCGACAACAATGTCTTGTCGAGAACTCCTTTCAAAGTTGGACTTTCGGGAAGAGTCATTTGGGAGTCCCGAGAAGACATAATCCACCCCGAGCTCACATATTCAAGGGGAGGCTCATAATCACTCCGTGAACACGTCCAGTTTCGAGTCAGAACTTCCGGCCGCTCCCGGTAGCGAAAGAGGAACTATGACTTCAAAAACAACTTTCCCTCTGGAAGAGGGAAGTTTCCGTATGTTCTCGGCAATCAGACTCAGTCTTCCGACGCCACTCGACACACCTCTCAGATATTTACATAGAAGATTCATTTCGGTTTGTCAAAAACTAGGAGTCTGTAATTTCTGTCTGGCTAAATGGTTGTGATTTCAGCGCAGATAACTCCGCGCTGATTCCGCCTCTTCTTCTCGGAGAGGAATTCCTGCGCTTCGGCTAATTAATTCCATTTGGGCTCTCGGGCAGCGTTTAGCGTTCTACTTTTCCAGCGAAGCTCTGCGCGTCCCCATGTTTGGTGGGAAAATTGGTGTGGACGTGTTCGCTAATGACACGTTCGGTCCGGTGACTTACCAGCGTTGTTTTGGGAGTATTCGATGATGTTTTGTCGGAAGGGAAGGACGACAAACGTGCCGAAGAACGATTTTCCATTGCAGTCTATCCGGGTACCATTAGCTTTGGTGTCTTGGGTGCAGGAACAGAATTCCTTGAAGTCCGGGAACAATTCCCGGCAAGGGAGAGCGAGACACGACGGAATCAGAACCGCCGCAAGGATCCAACGAATCATCGTGATCTACAACCACCTGCAACAATTTTCAATGAGGTGTGTTTTAAGGGACTGTCAGCTGAATTGTTCGAAATTCGGAACGCAGATAAATCCCCAGAGATATCAGGCAGCGCTCCGATAATATATTCTCTCGCCTCGTGTAAACGGCAATGGCCCTTCATAGCTAAAATAAAAATCCCTGAACAACGTCGAATCGCGAAGATTAGGTGAAAATGGATCCGTATCGGTGTCGGACGGCTCGTTTCCCCTAAAAACCAGCTCGCATTTCAAGCGACCCAGTGCTCCATCACGATGACTCGTAGTGTCGGCGTCTGTCCGCGCGAATTCAGGCATTCGCCGGACATTACTCCGAGCGTACATCTCCTTTATCACGTCGATGAGCATGATCTTCATTGTGATAACGATCGCGATCATTGTGATCATCGAGACCGTCATTTTTACAACGGATCCTTATTCGCTAATTTTGCAGCACAGATATTCGGGGGGATGAAACAAAAACTCTCACGGGGCGAATGTTACATCTATTCCTTCTTACGGGAGCCATGAAGCGTTCGATATATTTGCAAAACGGCACGGAAATCATCGTGAGAATAAGCAGCGCATCAACTCAATCAAGGATTGCTTTCCATGAGCAGCGAGTCTTCCGAGCCGTCTCCGGATCTCGATGATCAAAAAAGCTGATCGTAGACCAATCTGCTTGCTCAGAGTGGGAGGAGGCGAACTTCACAATCATCGGGAGGCGGCTTTGCGGGTAAATATGGATGCAGTCATATCAATGGAAGGTATCGATGGATCCACATATCGATCCACGCGCGCGCACACGGCGCCGCGCCGTGGTATTGAGTTGGAGCCCCGATTGATCGGTCCGTTGCTCGGTCGTCGATGCATCAAGTGATTGCTTCGCCCAGCCACAATGCCGGCTGACCCACTTCGGTCGAAACGTGCGTAAAACAACGGTCTCTCGTCTAGGATACGCTCACTTGAAAGCCGAGCACATTTCCGACAGATTGCCCACGATAAACAACGCGCGCGTGCGCTCGAAGCCCGAGCATCCTTCTGCGTGCGTCCGAAGGAATGAAAATGGCAAGTCATGGCATTGCAGTGCCCTCGCGGCTAAGCGTCCTCGCTGAAGTGTCAAACGACGGCCGGGCTGTAGTAGCCTAGTTGAAAGTTGACGAAGTTGACGGAGAATAACCTTGTTGGCTGTGGAACCGATGACAGAAGTAACACCGCTGTAGGATTGAACAATGAAGTCGAGGTCGAGTGGTGCCCAGAAGAAAAAACTGGAAAAACCGCAGGAGCACCGGGACGGCTCGCTCGATTACGCAAAGAACTTACAATACATCGTTTGGTAAATTAAATTGGATGATCCTTTCTTCGAACAAAACTCGAAGCCTTGAGAGCAAATCATGGTGACGCGAAGCATCGATCCATCTCGCTGCTTCCTTATCGAGAGAGTTGTTATGAACATTTATCGCCTCATCGCACGGGGAGCGGGGAAAATACGCATGGGCTCGAACTGCGATAATATTCTTGACACCTGGTGCGAGGCGTTCGTGGAAACTACGAGAATTCTGTTCCTTTGGTTTTCGAATGCTGGTGTTGAAACCATGCATGATATTTGTTATGGTTAAATTCCTCCTAGTGTGACGTTTTGACAGTCAGACCCCATCAAGGGAGCGTTCTCATCCAGCAGTTCAGGCTGAGGTTTACGAATTCCGAAGATGGACCGCCGATCGGCGAGAAAAACGAAAACGAGACGAAGACAAACAATCACTGCGGCACATTCAACAAGCCCACCAGTCTGACGGAAGAATATTTCGCGCACGTCATCTCCTGTAGGGCGTTCCCTCATCAATACCATTCCTCCTGCTTCCCTATCCATCCGCGGGTACGGCACGGAAAACTTTGTGCCTATTGTCACATCTCTCTTCCCGCGCCTTGCCGGCGGCTTCCGTCGGACGGGACTCTGGTCCGCAAGGAACAGTGAAGTCCAAAAAATCCAGGAGGGAAGGAAGAGCTCGTGACGGAGTAAATGCAGTCAGTAAACCAAATTCTTCGTCTTCACTTCGAAAACTGCGAACGACCTCAGGGTCAAGCTCAGAAATAACGCAGAGCACAATGAGCACTGCGCGTCCTGCTTCGACATACCCGGACTTCCCTGTGACAACGTTTGGAATTGGTGATTGTTCATGAGACGATATTCCCTGAGAATAACTCGATTTCTCGCGCACTCCCTCCAAAATTTTGGAACGGTATGAAATTATCAGGTCGTGAATTTCCCAGGTCCCATATCCGTCGCGAGTATAATGTGGAACTCATCAAGCCGGAGCCAGTCCTACTCCAATCCGGATCCTCCGTTCGAAGACTCTGTGGCGAGCTCCTTGTCCTTATGCAGGAAAGACAGTCGGAATTAGAGCTGGTTCGGCGAAATCCAATGCCAAGCAATGTGGGTCATCGTCGCGAATGGTGATTGTCTTCATTCATCAGTGTACGAACGAGACGTCTTCACACGACCGAAGAGCCACCGATACATCCAGTGTCGTTTTCGCAGAGAATTCGCTCGAAGACAGTTCACCGACAATGACATTGAGAGGAATGTCAGCGTCAGCGATCGTCATTGGATGACAGTTTCAGAATGCTCATGCTTCATAAGCGTCGGCCACCGCGGTAGCGACATCGTGACAACGATGTCGCGAACCCCTTGTCTCCATTACTACCGAATCGTCGGGGGCTCGCCTGGAGCCCAGCTACGAGAGCAGACTACATGGATTTCTCCTGTTTTCGAGACGGCATTTAGGGAGTCCTGGAGGAGTTCGTTCCACTCGGTCGCGTTCGCTCAAATACTCGCACGCCTCACAAAACCATCGGATCGGATTTTTTTTCCAAATACTCAGGTGGAAAATGAACAGTGGAGTTCCCGACATTCCTCACGCGCCCCTTCCTAATTATTACGCGCAGGAATCTCGTCGAAGCTTGATTGACGTGAAATCCTCGGAATACTTCCTCTGAAAGAATCCATCTCGAATCTCAAGGGGAAAGATTCAAGAAGACTCTCCGGTCCCACCCTCTTATTCTCCGGCAGGTTTCGTATCTCGCATTCCTGTGATCGATCGTAGTCACTAAGGTCGGTCACGTAAGTGTCGAACGCGCTCGTTTCCGGGAGGTGCGCGCGTGCGATACGGCACACTGATCTTCGACAGAAGTTGTGCTTTATGACTGATTTCTGTAGCACTGCTCGATTGTGTATTCGCTCTTGTGGTTGCTGCCGGCGGAATCACAAAGCAGACAAAAAAAGGAAAAAGTCTCTTGACAGACTTACTGAAGAAGTATCGTGACCCCGCAGACGCCGCGTGAAGCAATTAGAGTTTCTGACTGACTGACGGACGAACTGACGAGCTACGACCCATTTCCGAAGAAGCCCAGTCATGGAATGACCCCTGCCGCTAACAAACACACACACACATACAAACACGCACATACTCTCGCGTAGACCATCGGCAGGAGAACGGAACTCATTCTCGATGGAATCCGGCACTTTCTACATCTGATTCGGAACCTTTTTGAACCGCCAGCGATCGCGTCTGGGCCTCGTCTATTTGAAGCTATAACGGTTTATTTCCTTGTATCGGGATCGTTTCAATCTTTATCATCATCAGAGATCCGAACACGCGGTTCCGCGAATGAGTATCGATCGCCCGGACAACAGATCTTTGAGGAAATCTCAGTCCCTTGGCTTACTTCCCGTGAGCTCATTCGGAGCTTCACTTTCTCCGTTCGGATCTCCGGGCCGGCTCCTTTCGGACTTCCTAGGGAACAGACTTTCCGTTTCGCGAAACCGTAGGCCTCGGTGTCCATCTCGAGAAATTCGAATGATCCTCGGAACGCTCATGGCATTCCTACGCAGGTTCCGAATCATATGTGGAGATAGAGATTTTTTCGAGAAGTCAACAAACCTCGAACCGATGACTAGAACGAGCCGCAACCAAACGAATGCTCGGCCGCCCGCCCGCCTGCTCGCTGGCTCAGCCGGCAGGCGAGCCAGACAGCGAAAAACGAACCGGCTGATTTTTGTAAGTGACGAAGTCCATGTGGGCCACGACTTCGGCATGAGCCGAGCCGAAGAGCGTTTTCGAACGACTGAACGAAGCAGCCGAGCATCTTCCTCTCCATCTGATTTTATTGACCACGGCTTCATCCGCTACTCCAACGTAATGAATTTCCGGCCCCGAATCGAACGGAACGGAATCTCCCCAAAACAAGTCGAACGTTCGCCAGTGGTACTCGGCGTGGTCGCTCAAGTGAACGCGTGAAGCTGTGAAATTTGAAATCACAGAATCGTTGTGGTCGTCACAACTGGTCCGAGTTACAAGACTACCGGACGCGCAACATTTGTCAAATATGTAAGGGTCTTGTTGTTCCGAATGTTGTAACATCGGTGCCCGACTGTAACCCATTGCCGGCTATAGACCGAAAGAAGTGAAAGTCAGTGAACGATGTGACCGCGTGAGAGCAGGTACTGAGAACCTTGAAGCAAACTCTCAAGGGGCGTCAGAATCCCGAATGACGCGAGCGGAACTCCTCGCCGATTGGGTTCTGCATTAGAATATCCGCCCAGCTGCCTCACTGAGTGACAGTAGAGCTCCGGTTTATTCCCGAGGACGGGGCGCTCTACAGGAACCTCTGAGTGACCATCGGCATCTGCGGCAGGGAAAGCCTTTTAATTGAGGAGGAGACAGCGAAGAACCACTTCGGAGTCAGACTGCAACTCCCGAGTGCATGAGAACATGAGTCAGCGCGTTCTCGTAATTTACGTTTCGGCAACTCACGAGGCTCGAAGACATGCCGAGGGGTTCCTGGTTGTTATCATGGATCACTCGATATCGAACACGCCTCCCCCAGGAAAGGTCAAGCTCGTGATGAGCCGAATGATCTGAGGTTATCATTAGATCCAGTCCATTCACCTCTTATCATCCAGTTTCGACTTCCAGACAGGAGCCGTCGATGATTTTTCGTCGAAAGAAAATCTTTCCAGAATTCGAGAGTGCTTCGGCATACCTCCTAGTTCTCGGTGGCGGGTTCCGAATTCCGGTAGGTGATGTTTCCAGAGCACGGCATGAGAGCTCCGAAACTAATCCAGATCGACCTCTCTGGTCGCCTATTGACGGGTCAGCGGTGGGCTATTGAAGAGCAGTAGCTCAAAAGGGATGGCACTCGTCCAAGGAGTTCCTTTCTCTCTTTTCCCATCTATCCATTCACGCATCCATCTGTTTCGGGGAAAAAAGCTGACAACCGCGGTAACGGGACGAGAGGAAACCTTTCACAGTTCTTCCTCAAACTCTATTCTACGGCTGGAAGTACAGAAATGTCGGTGACGCATACAAAAACTAAATCTGATGAAGCGGATCATTAGCTGTCCATTGGCTGGCCCCGACAACAGGCGACGAGAACAATGGTCGTCAGACGGCCGCTTTCTGTCATTCGTTCCTCCGTCTCGCTCACTTGTCCAATATCTCCAATGGAACCTCGACGCGGGAACATCTTGAGCGGAAATGTGAGATCATCCCTCCCCAAGGAGCTGACCTCATCACCTGAGAAACAATGGAAACGAGCGCGGAACGACCTCGGAAGGTCCGAGTTCCGATCGGAATCTGGGATCACGCCTGCGCTTGGGACCTCTCTCGATTCCTCGGGATGTACAGAGGCCTGTTTCCGCGTATTCCCTCCCACAGTCCTTGTCGCTTTGGTCAACCCGTCGGCCGACGTGTGCGGTGATTGTCATCCAGGCGAACCGACGGTCCGCGGTATCCGACGGGCTTTCTCGCCTTAGAACAAAATTCCCTCAACAGGTGATATCATCAGCAGTCAAACCGACCGACAACGGCGGCGATAGAATGTACGCACAGAATTTCCAAACAATGGAAATTTTTGATGCTCCATGGTTCCGCGAAGCCGTTTTGTAGTTTCGCTCAAAGCACTGACAGTGAAGTTCATTGCGTTTCCATGTTGAGAGTTCTCACACCTTCTTTTCTTGTCTCGATCATTCCTCCGTGAAGGTTCTCCCAATACCACGGAATTTCCCCTCGGAACTGAACTAAGACATTCACAGTTTTCCAGAGATCCTATTCCTTTCGGATTCGATCCCGGAAAGAGTGAAAGGTAGAGTTAAGAAGCGTACATGTCTCAGATCTGAGGTAATGATATAGGACGAATTATTCGTCAGGACAGATATCCGTGGACCGACAAGAGAGTCCCTATTCCGACCTCGAACGTCCATCGCTCGGGTCGACATCCCCACTTGCTCAACGGAAACATCCACATGTGCGCGTTCGAGGCTCCGCGATTCGTCCCCGGGGGGTCCTGCTGTGCCGCGCCACTCCGGCAGATGATTCCAAATCGGAAGAGTGATGCACGAGCCCATCTCGCCTGACTCGATCATCCTCCCGGAATTTGCTCGGACGCTGCAACGAGCCATTGTACATAGCTCGAGCGGTCTGAGCCGGCGTTCCAGGAGATCTGGGCCCGTTCATAATGGCTCACTGGATGCGCGAGCGATGTTCCGCAATGCGGTTTTCTGATCTGCCCAGAGTTGTTCGCTGTTGATCCAAATATAGTTGTTGTACGACTCTCCATATTCACCCCGACCGCTAACGAGTTCAGCGGTTCTGACCTTAATCTTGAAACAGCTATACGAAGAGAAGGAAGCGTGCGACGAGCAGTCGGATCTTCGAACAATTCGGTAAACAAACAATGTCTAGCAATCTTCTGGAACCAGACCTCAAGCTTCGAGGGATTCAATTGACATTATTAGAGTCTCCTGAGCTCCTTCGGAATATTTTGGGATCCGGGACTTGTCCGAAGCCATTATTGACGGTGGACAGCCACAAGAAAAAGCTCATACCAACACGGAGTTAGCCTCGCGCCCGGAGAGTCAAAAGACACTTATCAGCTGTCTTGAGCGCCATCGGGAGAGCTCAGAAGTTTGCTTAAGGGCCGACTAGCTACTAGGCGACTAAGTCCGTGCGGGGACGACTGACTTTCTATGTCTGTAAGAAATGCGACCGTTTGACCCGGGAAGAACATCTGGCCAACACAGCGGCATCAACGACAACAACAACAAAAACAACATCAACGGCAACGGCGCCGGCGGCGTCCGAAAAACACCACGGCTTCCCGCTGAAAGGACGGCACTCATCCCGGGCATATTTCTGTCTAAGCATTCTGCTTGATGTTTTTTGTGCGATGACGTTAATCGTTGCTTGGCTGAGGTGATCTAGCTTTAACCTTGCCCGTCGTCTCGACTTTCATCTTCGTAGGGAAGTGACGATTAGGAATGTCGGAGGGTTTCACATCACGACGGATGACCGCTCACCCCTCTCGAGTGGTCCTGAAAGCTTGGGTTGAAGAAGTTTCCGGGGATCTAGGGCCGTTCCTGGAGGGTGAGCCACGAACTCCACGGGCCTCGAGATCTGCCTGGTTGTCCGAATCGAAAGGATCAATCGATGCGCAGTCATGCATCTCTCTGGATCGATATACGATTTTCGGGTGTCGAACCGAAGAGCCCCAACGGGGCGAACGCGGGAGCCGCGATATGAATGCCTTGATGGCAGGTCGACAAAACTCCACCGTGCCAAGAACTGAATGGCATGAATGCGACAAACTCCGGAGAGATGTTGCTTCATAATCGACCCACGATCGGAAACGTGTAATTCCGTCGAAGATGTGGGAGTTGATTGATCAAATAGTGGGATTTCAGACTTTCCCGAGAAATCGGCGGGGGCTGTGCACCACCGGCACCTGAGCCATTCGGGTCTTGTCAAGCTCGAGCACCAGTGAATATGTGGTGCCAGTAGCAGTGGGAATTTCTTAGGAGCTCCATCGGCGCCGCTTGTCATTTCCAGTGCGGGGTGCACACTCGGAGTTGCTCGTACATCTTGTTGACGCTCGACCACGCTCAGAAGACAGGAAGCGAACTCTGAAGACGGAGACTGAATGACGTGCAGCGACCGAGCGAAGCTGGAATCGGGACCATCCGGCGGGAGTCTGACTATGAGACGTTCGGCGGGAATCCCTCGATACGTCATGTGGTTACGTGGTGCGACCGACAGAAAGCAAACACGCAGACTATCCTCTACGCCACAGAAAGGCAAGTATTATGAATTATGATTTACCGACGCCAATGCTGATCGGTGGTTGAATTGTCGAGAATATTTCCGAGACCGACCGATATCATGAGCGCGTGATTGATTCCTCGTCCGTCTTACAGGGTCTACATCGAAGGCTTCGGAGCATACGGCTCGCTCTTACCTGACTCTTCAACAATCCATGAGCAATCTTGATTTCGTTTCTGACTCTTCTTGGGAAACCACGCACCACCGAAGACTTGTCTCACTATGACTCCAGTCCCACGGTAACGGAAGCGCAGGGACTTTTGTTTCCCACAGTGAACTGGTTATATCCAAAGTGTCGCCACGCTCCTCTTCGGCACACAACGTTGGGCCGTCACAGAAACGCCGGCTTTCGGAAAGCACCGTTAGACCGTCTGGAGAGAACGTCACTTACAACGGCCGGCACCGGTAGCAGTACCACGACCCGTAACAGCAACGGAACAGTCCGACAGTGCTCGAAAGCAACGGAGTCAACGTCAAAGAACGAGGAGGAGCGGAGGCCCTTGCCAACGTGACGAGGGGTACTGCTGCTGCTGCCGGCGCTCCGCGGTACACTTTTCGAGGAATGCCGACCAGCAGCTGACTTGCTATCAAACCAAGCATCTCGGTAAAGAAATACACTGTACCATTTTCTCTGAGACGAATTTTTCGGTGTCAAGTCTGCAACCGCTGTTAGTTTGGTATTTCGCTCACAGTTGAGATGAGCCCAGTGAGCTCTCACTCTGTTCGGCAAGAGATCAGTGTACGGAAGCAAGCTTATCACAGATCAAAGCCGGATCCAACTGAATATTCCAGGAAAAAACTTGAGCACGGAGAAATTCTTCATGAGCTACGTCAATCATTAGAGACCCTGGCCGTCCAGAACACCTCCACGAGTGGCGCTCCGGAAGCACTTGGCGCTCGGCCGACACGTGACCAAGTTTGCGACGGGTAATCGAATACAAGATTGAAACGCCCAATTAAGAACTTTTGATTAATGATATGCCCCGGAGCTTTGCCGGACTTTGGCCCGAGTCACAACCTCAACTTTAATCTTTCCATCCCTGAATTCGATTGGATCCGGTCTCTCCTTGTGAGATGTCTTACTCGCGTCCTCGATCAGGCACTCCGCATGTCACCTGCAGAGTAGCGTTCCCGCGTTCACGTTGTCCTTTCCGAGGGTCGGTGAAACTTCAGGCATTACAGCACTGATCACTGGTCATGATCCACTCATACATCCATGATTATGGGGATGTGGGGACGGACCATGTCTTAGGACCGGTGGAATTCGAGAACCCAAGCACCATCGATTTATCCATCGATAAATCTGCATATATGGACATGTATGGATATGGATTGATGGGGGAGAAATCATAACGGTAGAGTTCTCCAGCTTTATCTGCTATGCTCCGTTACGAGATTCACTCTCCTCTGACGTGAGACGATCAAGCATGTCGAAACCGTTCCTTCAGACATGAAAGAAGTACATTTATGTAATCGCCGAACAAATAAAGCACAAGCTCCCCATCTACATAATGGTTCTGCGTTCTGCCGCTTATAAGGAGCTTTGAAGATCACACGACTCCCGTCTAGTGGAATCACGCGAGTCGAGCCGCCGAATCCAATTCTAGAATTCTACTATAGAATCGGGCCAGGAACAGAAAAAGAATCAACCGAAAATTTCGGCTATCGAGTTTTGAGGTATCTCACGCTTAGATTCTCAAGGTCGGGGGCGGTCAGGAAGTCGGGCCTCCATGATCTTGACGAGCTTATTAATACTGTCGGGAAAACGGCATGGACAATTGCGATCTATTCAAATGCAACATCATAACCACGACGCTTGACGTCTGCTGTGACTTGCCGGGGGAAAGCGCGTCTGGAGGGGGAAATCCCGATCGATCTATCATCGCGGGCTATCAGCTCTCGAGTTCGCACGCGAGTCCATCGAGCCATCCTTTCTCTTGACGTAACCGAATCGAGATCAGAACCGCGTAGAAAAAGAATGCAGTCGAAAGGATGCTTCGTCTCCATCGATTCCGCGAGCATATCTCCCCGAATGAACAGAAAGAGGAATCGACGGTTCTTCTGCTGATCTAAGCCACCTAGCACGAGGCCTCCGACGAGGAGTCGCCAGTCATTGGGAGCAAAGGAAGAGTGATTCCTCCATATCGGCGGTGGGCTACTCCGTCAAGCATCCGTGCGACTTGATCTAGTGTGTCGGATAGATGATGACAAGATGACATGCATTCGGTTAGAATAATTCAGAGGAATAGCAGCGTTCCTCTGCGTCAGATGAGACAAGGAATCCCGCAACTCCACCGTCCGGAGCGCGGCAGCTCGGCCACGGCGTCAACTTGGCCACTACGACAACTCGGCCACTTCGACAACTCGGCCACCATGGAGACTCGGCGCCGACGATCGCTCGGCTTTCCTTTACTGAGTTGATGTCATTTATGCCCTCGGGGCCTCGATGAACACGAGATACGTCTCCCTCCCGGAGCACCCTCATCGAGATACTCACAAAATTGTCTCGAGGTTGCCTTGCCACCATACATTCAGGGTAAACTTACACGGAAACGGATACCAATGTTCCACATCGGAATCGCACTTCGACTTCAGGTCATCTCTCATGGATGAAGGTGACGGGGGAGTATCCGAACCCATATGCGCCGGTATATAACACGGTAGGATCGAAGATACGGGAAGAAGACTGAACGGATCGAGCAATTCTGGCAGTCGTTCGAGCGGAATCCTTGTCCTGCTATCGCATGAAGTTGAAGTACGAATGTCATATGGAACCTTGGTACCCGCGAAAATACCCTTCGCAGAAATAGCGGGGAAGAAGCCTCGAGACAACTCCGCCGTTTTTCCTAGACCTCCCGTATCTCGGTGGGGGTGCTCCGACAGATAGACTTATCTCGTGTTCATCGAGGCTCCGAGGTCATTCATGAAATCTAGTCAGTCAAGGAGAGCCGAGCGTTCGTCGGCGCCAATAATCGTAGTGGCCGAGTTGACTCCGTGGCCGAGCCGTCGTAGTGGCCGAGATGTCGCGATGGCCGAGTTGTCGTAGTGGTCGAGTTGACGCCGTGGCCGAGCTGTCGTGCTCCGGTTGGAGGCGGATCGGTCGCCATTAGGCGATGACGATAGCGTTCCAGTGTGGCAGTCCAAGATCGATGACAACCGACAAGAAGCATTGAACCGGGATCTCAATGCTCTTCTGAGTGGATCAACTTTGCTCACATTCTGATAGGCGCAATGCGGCAGTAGATGTACGTCGAAGAAAATCATCTCACCCCGGGAGGACTTGATCTGACTTTGTGGAGGCGGAGCATCAGACTCTCCTTCGCCTCCCCCCTCCGATCAGCGAGGCCTCCCTGGATATTACCGCGAGAATGAGTCCGTCGTCGGAGTCAGGCCGACTGCGGCCGGAAGGATTCTGGGCCGGAGGAAGTCTGAATCGGCTTTCGACTCTAAAACAGCCGAGCTTCCCGACTTGCAGGTGGGCCGGCTCAGTCGCACGCAGTGGCGTGGCCGAGGGGGGGGGCGATCGGGCGTTCGGGCGTTGCCCCCCCCCGTAATTTGTTCCGGAGAGTGTCGAACATCCATCGAGACGATGAGTGGGACATAGAATCCATAATCGACAGATTCGCCAGCAAGCAAAAGCGCCGAATGAACTTAATGTTGTGAGTCGAGAAGGCCTACCAGCCAGTGTAGTCACCTTTCTTTGTTAGTAGATTGTTTTGTGCCTTCCATTTGTTCTACTTTACCTCTTCGCGGTGACGGAGGTGGACCTCTTGGCGTTTTAAATTTAATGTTTTCCTGCTGTTTCGATTTTTTTTTTAATAGAATCGATTGCTGCTAGCGAATCATGACTTTTCCATCGATATGAGACGGAGATCCGATGATTCTGTGAGCCTACCCACAAGTTCGAAAAAAATTCCGCCCCCCCCCCCAAAAAAATCCCCGGGGTTCCCGAGTCAGGGACTCGGGTGGTTTGTGGGCGTAGAACTACGTGAACACGGAACACGTAGTTCCGTGAGTTTGAAGATCTGCGAACGATTTTCGATACTACCCTCCGGTCGACGAAGGGTATCACGAGATTTCCTCTGGCCGTTGTTCAAAAGACGCTTTTTTAGTTTGAGGAAAACGAGATCAAAGAACTCAACTGCGGGAACGGGATTCGGTCGGTAGCAACCTTCGAAGACTTCGGCAAATTTTCTAAACTCAGAAATGTTGACGAATGACATCAAAATCTACTTATTACTCAACGGACAAACTTCAATCGGATATACGGCCCGATATCTGCACCGAGTGCGGCGTCGTTTTCCGCTTAGCAACCCGCAATTCGGACGGCAACCGGTACGTGACCGAGTGCCACACTTCCTCGTGGAGGATGTAAGGATTGGAGAACATCGCGACTATGCGTATGAAAGGTACATTAGATTCCATGACCATGTCCGCCTAGGAGAAACGCTGCTACATGATCTGCTCTCTCGATGAGATCTCATATTGCCGATCTCAAGGAACAATCATTGCATGTCCGATGGAGGATTTTTCGAGTATCGCGAGGCCGCGCATGCGCATCTAGACGATGATGGGGATGAATTAGTTGAAGTACTAATAAATTAGGTTACTTAATGGAATGTCGGAACCTTAATGATCATGATTCGGCATTGTAAGGATGGATTCCCTTATCCTCCTTTTCGAGACCATCACTGGGCGGCGGCACTCAAAAAAGAGCTCTTCATTCTGGAATGATTTGTCCCAACGCGATAGACACACGTTCATTCATTAACAATGCTGCGACAGGACGACAGCACCGTTTAAAATGTCTATCGTTGGGTGAACCACTCCCTCCCCAATCGTCCGCTAAGCCGTACGGCCCGCCGTGGCTAGATTCTCTTAGCACCACGTTGCGTCCTGCCTGATAGGTGATTTCCTGAGGACCACTTCGGTTGAACTGAACTACGACTTCTCGCCCTTGTTTGTTACGGAAATCTGCTTCGTATCGCTTTTCTGAACACTGTTTGTTTTCTTATGTCGGGATTATGGCTGACGATGTATTAGGCGCAACTTCGTTCTTTTTTCTTTACGGATCCGGCATCCTCAGCTTGCTGGTCAGAAGGTTCTCCGCCGGTGTCCTTCCACGACCATTGACATCGACCAATGAGGATAGGAAACGCATGAATGTAGTAGCCAAGGCTAGAATGAACGACGGGAGTCCATTCTCATAAGAGGA